TGTTTTTAAAGAACGTTTTTGACGTGATTTTTTGGGAAAAAATTGACACAAAAATGGAAAACAAAATTCCTCAATGTATGCTCAACTTTTACATGTACGAGTATATATCGAAAATCTCATCCCGGAGATACATTTATAAACATTCCACTTACAAAAATCGTCGCCTACTTAAACATTATATCTCCTTTTCAACCCAGTTCAAGCCTCCTGAATGCCTTCAGAAGGACGTGAAAGCTGAGAGACATAAATGATTGTATCTATATGTCTCTGGTAAATTTGTTAAAAGTGGTATGTAAAAAAAAAAATAACCTAGACTGTTCAATACCTGGACTTTGCTAGTGCTCGAGTGCTCGACCTTACAGCAACAAAAAGTGTGTGTGTGTGTGTGGGGGGGGGGGGGGGATTGATACATGTAACCAGCATCTTAATGAAAATTTATACTATAGCAAAATACTATGCTCGGAAAAAAGGGTCGGGCCCCACGCCACCCCCACCCCCCTCCCTCGTTCTACGGGCCTGAATATACCTTCTCTCTTGCACAAATGATTATTTTAGGAAGGCAACTTGTTTGCTCTGTCGGAAAACATGCGAAATATAATTTGTCGTCTTATATAATTCTCATCAACTCTATAAAATGTAATTTGATTTAGGCAAAGAAATAATTCTATTTAAAAAGATCGAAACAATTACTTTTCTTTCTTGAAAGTCAGATCATATACTTGCAAAGGATGAGGTTTGAATGGAGGGAAAAAAATTAAAACGTATTATTTATAATTTTCGAGGATCTTACCGTAAATGATACAACTGTTTATGTCTATAGAAAAAAACTCTGATATACAAATAGTTTTTTTTAAATACATACATTCATTATTTATTAAATATATAACTAATTTAAGTTAAGTTGTTAGGCAGTAATAATGAATAAATCTACCAGATTATCTCATAATTTTTTTTACCAACTGAAAAATATATTGATTGACTTCATTTTTTGTGGTTTATCTCCCCACAAACAAACGTTTACTAGAACCATATCATCTCTCCATCACATTTATTAAAACCTGAAGAAAAAATATCTTTTTATATATCTTAATTCGGTCCCCTAAATTGAATTTAAATTTGAATTTACATTCATCTTGAACACATACGTACACGTGTATATAGATAACTAGAGTATAAAGTTAACCCAGAAAAGCGTGAAATTAAATTTGAACAACAGACTTTTTAAAGCATTTTTGAGCTGAACCACCGTTTGGCTCTCTGCATGCACCCGTCTAATATTCTGTTAAGATATTTTTTTTTTCGCTTTAATGAACGATCCATTAACTCTGGCGACCTTTTCTAGATTTCTATCACAGTCTGACACGGTTAAAATAATTATCCTAATATGTCGAACAAGAACTGATGTATTTTGTACATTGTAAATATATACATTTATATATGTACAGATATCACACACGCAGTTTTTATATCACATAAATATGTGAATACTGTCATCTGTATACAGTATGTAGAACTGATCAGATTTATATCCCGGGGTTATGTACATACAGACTCGCCACTTTAACAAATCAATTTTAATGTCAGTTCATGTATTTTAAAAGCAATCTAAATAGATAACAAAAATATTTACCCAGGGGAATGTGATATTCATGTTAATTTGATGAAAGGGCTCTTTTTATAATTACTTTTATCAAAATAATCAAATTCGACTCTCTCTCTCTCTCTCTCTCTTACTTTTTTAATATTTAAAGAAAATTCTCATTTGCAATCTCGGCATCTGTCAACGATTTAATCGAGCGTAAACAGAGTGTAATGGCACACACGTTATCCTTAGGATTACGATTCATTTCGCATCAGTACACAGCAGGTCGGTGATTACAGAGAGTAGGACTGTGTGTTTTGAGTTACGTGAAAAAATAGATCTATATTTGGAAGTCCATTCAAAGCTTGTCAAGGAAGAATCAGACTCCGACTCTGTTTTAAAATTCACCCACATGGAAATGAGTTCACATTTATTTACCTTTAAACTGTTACATGTATACACTAATTTGACAAAAGCTATAATTTTTAACATGTAACTAATTAATGCATGTCTCTGATATCTTTTTATCCCATGTTTACCCCTTTATCCCGTGGATATGACTCATTTGATAAATTTTTCATAATCCACAGTTGTGACGTCATGCACAGTGGTTTTTGCGTTAGCGCGATGAAGTAAAATAAAGTGGAGTCCTATATAAAACAGTGTAAAACATTGGTTGTGAAGTATTAAACATCGCCAAGGCTCGGGGATAAAAAACACACAACTCGTTGGATAAAAATCATATCCAACTACAAATCATGGGAGATCCTACATATATGTGCACCATATTACCGCATTTAGAACATTTCGATTGCTCACTACTCCCAAAACCCTTAAAATGCAATTTCATTTTATGAGGATAAAATTTTCCTGTTGTAATGAGTGAGCTTCAGTTTATAATTATACACGATCATGTAATTATCTTTTACACTTGTTTAAGGCAAAGTGGACGCAAATTAGCTGGAAAAAATCAATTAAGGAAGGCGTTTTTCCTTGAAATTTAAAAGTTTACTCCTTAAAAAGTATGTACACATGTATTTAACAACATAAACAATATCACAAAGAAGTTCCTACCTTATACATGTATATACATTTTGTACATGTACCTACCGGTATAATTTATTTTTTCTACCCCCCCCCTCCTTCTTCCAGGAACCTATCCAAGGACATAGGTGAGTTATTCTTAGCAATGTTCTTTAGATCCTTCCGATAATAAATCTTCATTTGAAAACAACGCCCATCATATTTATGTGTTTTTTTTTATTCAGTGGTTTTGTTTTCTCCATCATTTATACAGAAACATACTCAAATTGCGCTCAGTGGATATAACCATAAATAATTTTTATAATCATTTCGTATTCACGCTATGAAAAAGACGCGTGCACGATGTTTAACTTTGGATAAGATTTGAATTTCGTGTGATTTTACAATGTTTAACTGAATTAGATGTATCGTTAAAGTTACTTTTCCAGGAAAATAATTATTATAGGAGTCCCCGTTCCATACACGAAGCAAATCGATCTTTGCAACGATTTCATGAGTACATCTATCATCTAGCTAGAGACTTTAGGACGACGGATAAATAACTTTGTTTCAATAAAATTTCAGCAATATCTAAATTCAAATGTGTCTTCCTTCGGAAGCCCATTTAGGACCTACATGTAAGGCTATCAAAAAATATTTTTGAATTCGTTATTACTAATTTAATATTTTATAACAAATTTGTTGAATTCATTATAACGAATTCAAAAAATTGTTTTAACGAATTGAATTCGTTTAAACGAATTCTAAAATTTGCTATAACGAATAAAATTCGTTTACTCAAATTCAAAAATCAGGACCTATAGAAAAATATATATGAATTCGATATAACGATTTGTCGAATTCGTTTTAACGAATTCAATTCGATATAACAAATTAAAGAGTTCGTTTTAACGAATTTAATTTGTTATTACAAGATTTAGAATTCGTTGTAACGAATTTAATTTGTTAATTAATTAATTCTTAATTAAATTTTCAGAAAGACGCACATCTACAATTATTGTGATAACCCCTCCCCCCTTCCCCGGCCCCTTTATGGCCAGTGACCAGACCAGAGAGTGAACTTTTGATATAGGTGAATTTATCTAAATATCAGAATTTATGGGGGGGGGGGTTATGCATCGGAGTCTTTTTAATGATTATATATTTCACTTTTTTTAATCTGTTACAGTAAATTTTATGTCAGTTTCGAATATATCTCATTTCTTTGCCGATTAGCGCCTTAGGGTGGCGGTGTTGAATTAGGCTCGATTTTGTATTGTAAGAACAGGTACATATACATTTCACTTGTCTCTAATCAAATTTGGTGCCAATTTTTGTAATAATTTAAATTTTAATTTGTGTTAATAAATTTGCAAACTCAAGTATGTTTTAACAATCCTTGTACAATTTCTAGCTACAGCCCCCTTATCCCTGTTTCGCCGTTTTGAAATAGAGAAGATATAAAGTGATTCATTGCGGTGTGTTGTGTCTTCCCTATTGAACGAACTTTCCCCAACCTTGGTAGATAATTTATTCAAGACTGGCAGAGCTTGTCTTGCTCTTTCAAATGTACACTACAGACCGGCATATTCAAGTTGAAAGAGGAGAAAATGCATACAAGCCATCAAAATTGATGATAAAAGATGTGCGTTTCTGAAAAAAAATTAGATTGCTATCATCTCTTAATTATATTAAGAATTGATTAATATATTTTTTTTAATCAATACAATTCAGTATTGTTAGAAACATACAAAGCCTCTACGTTTATCAGTATCCATTGACAGATATTTACATATCATTTTGACCATTTGAAGTATACGTAAATACTTATCCCCCCCCCCCCCCCTACGTGCGTTAAAAAGACATTCATTGTAAATTACTATACAATTACATAACCAATTTAATTTTAGAGGGAATTAAGAGAGGTTCATCCCATTGCTCTTTTTCTATTCCATATATATATATGTTACGTTACATACATGAACTAGCGCAAAACGAATTTATAAGTAAATTCTGTGGAATCCCTGTCCCCTAAAAATAGATTTGAAATCACGGTCAAGGATTTAAAAATTCACAAAAGGAGAAGGCATAAAATCGGGGCGTTTTAAGGTTTGTTTGCTAAACTTTTACCCGGTTAGTTGGATTATTTTATCTTTAGAGTGTAGCCTGGCTTGTTTATTGAGCGCATATCATTCGGTTATGACCAGATGTAGTGTAGGATTCCATGAATTCCTGAACAGTTTTTAGGCGGAATACAAGTTTATCTATTGCACCGAACTTTGCGCTTAAAATACAAGTTAAAATAAGACTAGGCTTATCTGTTTACATTGCAGATATAATGTGTGCCTGTATAATATTTTGAAATACACGCGAGCGTCGTCAAATTCAATGAAGGTTTAATGTTTTATAAAAGGTAAGTATATTTCAGTTTCAGTTCCTATCGTGGTAATCTAAAAATAAATTGAGTGATTTCCAACATAGGTAATTGGGATAAATATATTGAGTCAACAATAGTATAGAGTGTTAAGCGGAAACCTTATCCAGGTAAATCTCTCAGGTGGGCATTTCAAGTAAGGAAGGTACGTGTGTTTGGGTTGTAAAAGAATTCTTGGGGTTGACCCCACCTTCACTTTTACTACATTATGAGTAAGATGACATGACATCACTTCAAATTTAAATGACTATTTTTTTAGGCGCAGTTTGACTTCCATTGTTAAAAAAAATACCCCACTGTTTAATCAGGTCAAGTTTAAACATTTTAGTGCATTATACGGTCTTGAAAAAAAAAAACAAACAAACAAAACACACACACAGATAATTCACTGCTGCGTCAAATGTTTCCAATGTTTAACAAAAGTCCACAGTTTGTACAAGTTTGCATTTCGTGTACCAAAACCAACAGCGATCAATATATTAAGACATTTTTAAGACAGAAAGAAACCGGAAATTCTACTTTCGGTTTCATCATACTTCGCCACATTGTTCGTGAGTCATTATACATGAAGTGTGTGTTCCTTTACAGCTACAGATAAAGGCGTGATGTTGAGAAGAGAAATATGTCTGCTGCTTCTTTTATTTCCTGTGATTTCTGGATTTAATGTCGGAATCAAGGGAGCCAAGATTTTGACCGGAAATCGAGGGTCTATGCTGGGCTACTCGCTCGATTTTGCCACCAGAGGCAACGATGTATGGTATGTTGCATAAACAAGATTCAGATTTCCTTATTTTGACGTTAAGCAATCCTATGTGAAGGACTTCCTTTTTAGTTCTCAGTACTTGCTTCTCCTATAACATTCCTAACCTTTTTCTACTTGCACCCCCCAATGCCTGTCGGTGGTTGTGAAGTAGGCCTACTTTCAGATTTCTCTACTTATTAAATATTTTGAAAAAGATTCTCTATACAATCATTCTTATTTTTTTGTTCAATTCAAGTAGTTTTAGTTTTTTGTGGTGGTGGTGGTGGTGGGGGGGGGGGGGGGGGGGGGGGGGGCACAACCAAACCTTTTTCAGTTGGGGTGGGGCACTAATTTCCTTGACAAGCAAAAATTGAAAAAAGGATTATCAGACATTATTATTGAGGGGCAGCAGCCGCCTGGCCACATGCATCCATAAAGTAGCTTAATTTTTCTATAGTATACCATATATCGATGAATTATGGGGGAGGGAGGCAGCTAGACCCTCTATTCCTATACCATAAGATATTCCTATACCATATCTGTACTACAGCCATGATAATACAGCTAGGACTCGATTAAAAGTTTCAAGATGTTTACATATTTTATTTTTCGTTATTGTGATAGTTGAATTTAATGTAGGGCTGGTAAAATTTGGAAAGGGATAGTAATTCTAACTCATCCACCAGCCTTAAAGGGGCATGATCGAGCTACAGAAGTGAACAGGTTCTCACACCACTTAATTTTGTGGACTGGGGCAGGGACCATAAAATTGAGAAAATAGCGACCTTTTTGGGAATTCTGGGATAATCTGTACATTAAAATTTTTACATGTTCGGTTTTCTGGTGCTTGTTTTCAATAAACACCAGTGTTTTGGAGAATAGCGTAGTATTAATTTAAGCAAGTTTATTTATTATATATCACTATAATTATGTTCTTTAATTTTGGATGAAAATCTATTTGGGAAAATTAATGCATGCTATTGGAAAGAAGTTACCTTTGATCATGTTGATTGAATTTTGAATGGGGCCTTTGAATGGCCTCAAAGAGAATCGAGAGCCATGATAAACCTTAGCATGCATAGGCATTAATTGTGACCAGTAGATCTCTTTTTCACTTCTGATCAAGATATTATGAAATGGGTCAAGCGTGTATATTTACAAATCATGTATGTTATGTAATGTGTGCATGAACTTGCATATAACTAGGAAACAATTTCCACAGTCGTCATAAATTAATAAGAAAGTTGAAATTATTATGTTTCCAATTGAAGGACGTACAGTTATACATGTACTTAACATGCTTAAGGAGAGATTCTTTTCATAAGAACACTTATTTCTTATATTTAGAAATCAATGAAATTTTCACAGAATCAAGAAGACAATATCACTAAGTGATGGTATCAGTTAGATTAAATTTGACTGTTTTATATTAGAGGCAAGGTCAGGTCAAGGTCAGTACCTTTTCCCGGGAATAAAAAATTACTGTTGCCATGCATTCATGCGATGCCTACTTCTATTTCAATAAATTAAATGTTTTTCTTTTTGCATAAAGAGATATTACCATATAGGGTCTATAAGATGATATTACCAAATTGACATAAATAATTTAACTAAAATGGATATTGGATAATCCAAATTTTCTCTATTTTTCTTAAAATTTTAAGATATTTTGGTTATTTTTATATGCTTCCTATATTTAAATTTTTCTTATTTTCACATATGGTAAAGTTGTCATATAAACTTAAGATACAAAATGATATAAGAACAAAAAGTTTTGACCATTTACCATGTTTACTAAGAGAGAAAAAAAACTTTTTACGGATTTTTGGCTCAAATCTGAACTTAGATTGGAAGCTTTTAAAAGCTAACATAATTGTAGTTTGTTTGGAAAATCATATTTATTTGATATATTTTAAAACTTTAGTCCCTTATTATTAATTTAACTTACATTTAAAAATTTTCTCTAAGTCTTTGATTGTGTAAAAATTATAACTAAATTCATTGTTCTATAATTATTTTGAGAGGCAGAAAAGAAGATATTTTCATACGCCGCCATTCCGCCAAAAATATAGCCCCTGCTAGATTTCAAACTCAGTTTACCATTTCTATTTAAAGTTGTACAGTTGTGATGAGGAAAGAAAAATATGATCTTTTAAATCTCTTACATCTAAATATATAAAACATATACGCAAATATTCTTTGAATATTTCATCTAGTCAGAAACCAGACAAGAATCCCTCTTTAATGAAAGCTTAAATGCAGGTGAAATTAACATACTATAATGGGCAAATATTCATAGAAATTAATAACAAAATGTTTATAATCTATTGCTCATAACTGGACAATTCAACAAAATCTCCTGGTTTTCTAAATTTTCAAGTTAGATATTTTAAAAGTAAGCATGGTTATAGTTCCATTGCTTAACATTTGTCAGAAAAAACTCTAGAAGATCTTGATTAATGTCTCATCAAACATGTATACACGTATGATATCATGGGCATAGGCTAGCACTAATATCATTTTACAGTGTACTTGGATTACATTTGTAAATTATCTGATCATGTGTCATGTGTATACTGCATGTACAAGGATATATTAAAGTGATGTTTATATTAGTTGTACAATGTGAAACCACCCTCCTGCAAGCACTAGCTAGAGGTTAATCCTTTAATTAGCAGCTGTTTTATTTAGCACATTTGGTGATTTGTATTGAATTCTAAATCTGAAGACTGTAGATTTAAGTCACAATATGGCCACCCCTTTAGGCCTCAGTTAATTGGTTATACTAATCCAATAATAAAGAATTCTTACTATCATTTTATGGAAGTCATATTGCTAGTGCTGAGTGATCATGCTATCCTTTTCCTATTTAGAATATAAATGTATATCACAGGTCACAAAACCCAACCACAATACACCAGGAGTGTCATGTATTTTTAAAGACATCTTTATTTTTTCAACATATTATACAGTCAAACCTTGTTATCTCAAACTCTGTGAGACCAAGAAAAAACTTCGAGATATCCAAGGGTTCGAGATATTCTTAAAAAATAAGAGGTTGGCACTTCCAAATCACTTTGATATATCCATGGTATTCGAGATATCGGTGTTCGATATACATGTACCAAAGTTTAACTGTATATTGAAGATTATGTAATAGTTTTGATCAAGAAAATTTTTGATTTTACTGTGTTTTTTGCATGATTTTGGCTGATTGAATATTGAGTGAATATCTTTGAACAGGTTATTGGTCGGTTCACCGAAGGCAAATGATTCAAAGGCCATGCCAACAGGAAGCATGTACTTCTGTAAACCAGCAGGTCTGAGAAGTCTGGGAGACTGCAGCCAGATCGATGTTACACGCTTTGCTCGTATGTACCCTACATTGCGTCTCACAAATTTAACTTGATCATGAGATTACAGTGTTTTCCCTAAGAACCGGCTACCGGCCAAATTGACCACTTCTGTTGATAAAAAATGCTGCTTAGGAATCAAAATTTTAAAACAAAACTGTTATAAGGTCCACAGAGATTTTATTATATTTTATTTATAAGAAATGAGAGAGTACAATATGGATAATTTTGAAGAATTTGATAAAATGCCATTTAGAAATCAAAATTTTCTTCATAAACCTCAACCCATAGCCCTTTATAATTGAAATGATCTTTTACCCTTTTTCAAATAAAGGGAAAACACAGATTAGAGAGAGTGAGGGAGGGAGAGAAAGCAAGCACTATGGATATGAAACATTAGAGAGAGAGAGTGAGTGGGGGAGGGAGAGAAAGAGAGCACTATGGATATGAAACATGAGAGAGAGAGAGAGAGAGCACTATGGATATGAAACATTAGAGAGAGAGAGAGGGGAAGGGAGGGAGGGAGAGAAAGAGAGCACTATGGATATGAAACATTAGAGAGAGAGAGAGAGAGAGAGAGAGAGAGAGAGAGAGAGAGAGAGAGAGAGAGAGAGAGAGAGAGAGAGAGAGAGAGAGAGAGAGAGAGCACTATGGATATGAAACATTAGAGAGAGAGAGAGTGAGGGAGGGAGGGAGAGAAAGAGAACACTATGGATATGAAACATTAGAGAGAGAGAGAGTGAGGGAGGGAGAGAAAGAGAGCACTATGGATATGAAACATTAGAGAGAGAGAGAGTGAGGGAGGGAGAGAAAGAGAGCACTATGGATATGAAACATTAGAGAGAGAGAGCGTGAGGGAGGGAGAGAAAGAGAGCACTATGGATATGAAACATGAGAGAGAGAGAGAGAGAGAGAGAGAGCAATATGGATATGAAGCACTTGGGAGTAAACAGGAGGATGAGGAACCTTATGTAACAATGCTATCTCCTTATGAGAAATTTTATATTTGATAAACTGTATAAAATTATAATATTGAAGGCCTCATGTTCTTTTACTACAGCTGTCAGTCCAGGAGCGGGGTTCACGGAACATCGCACGGAGATGTGGTTGGGTTCATCTGTAGATGTTGGGATGGATGCAAATGCAGTAACGGTAATTAAACATGATATAACTGCACTTTCTAAACGTGCTAAAGAAAGTTTGGGTATATTGTTGTAACCCTGGTCTGTCAATTCATCCATCCTTCTGTCACAATTTTTTTCTTCCTCAAACTCCTCTTTTATTATAAACAGTAACAAATGAATCTTTTTGAATATGATAGGTGGTATCCTGTAGAAGTGCAATAAAGTTTTGGACTTTTATATTTTACCTTGGAGGCCAAACAGGGGTCAGAAAATGTTTTTTCTACGAAAAACCTGGTTCCCAGAACTCCTCTTACATTTTACACAGTAACCTAATCATCTTTTGGTAGATGATTGCTGGTGTCCTTTAGATGTAAAATAAGGTTCCAGAATTTTTATTTTCACCCTGGGGGTCAAATGGGGGTAGAAAAAAAGTTGTTTTTTTCCAAAAAGCTCCCCAGCTGATTCCCAGAACTCCTCTTACAGTTTATGCAAAAGCCAAGTCATCTTTTGAAAGATGATTACTGATGTCCTGTAGATGTATATTAAAATTACATTTTGTGTGAATTTATAGTGTTATTGTGGCTTATTTCCTGATTACATTTAGAGGCAAACACCTGGTATAACTGTCTTATGACAGCATTAATTTCTTTTTATATCTGATCAGTTTATTAATGAAATATTCAGAGAAGTGTACATGTACCTGTATCAGTCATGATAATTATAGTTACAGTTTCTCACCTTTGACACATTTTTAGTTTTGTGGCCCACGTTGGATGAGAGATTCCTCAGATAGTAATGTTCGTGCAATGAATGGACTGTGCTATGAAGTGCCATTTGGATTTTTAGAGGGCGATAGTTCAGGACTTGTAAATCCCAATGTATTATATGGATTGTACAATTCCGCTCCCTCGGACCAATTTACAACAGCAGATCAAACAAAGTTTAATCAGACTTTAAAATATGGTGTATCAGCATCAGGCCTCTCCATTAAGTACCATAAAGAAGAAGTAAGCATTAAAGTTCTATGACTATCTGAAATGTACGCAGCTAGGTTAAGGACGCCCATGAAATATACGCCTTAGTATATTCAGAGAAAATGAATACAATTTTAATATTTTCTTAACAGCATTACTTTTGATGAATGTGAACTATGGTGTTTGCACTTGTATATATCGGGTCTCGGCCGAGTTCAGCCAAAGCGACATCGCTTACATCAGCTGTTTGTCACGAAACAGGTTTAAAATTAGAACATACATGTACCACTACAAAGATCGTAAAAGTTCAACGATATACGGGTATCTTTCCGCTATAAAATTTATTCTGTTTTGTTTGAGACAAATTCTTTAACATGAAAAGTGCTGGGAGCAACTTCCTCATGCTCGGGAATTGTGTAAAATTTAGCCATCTTTCTATAAACTCCAGACAAAGATGTAATATGCACTGGAATAATGTTACCTTAAGGAACATATAAACAATGAACAACCAGCTCCCAGCACTTTTCAGAATAGTAGGAATAATAGCTACACGTATTCAAAAATTCAGAATTTATAGTGAAGCGGATATCGTTGAACTTCTGATATTTTCGAGGGGCTGGACCCCTCATTCTAGCACGTTACTGTACAAATGTCGTCCCTACGGCTTTATATAAAGTTTACATATTATCAATTTGTTTGGCAATAAAATGTGGATTAATATATTTTAGAATATGTCTTTATTTTGATCCAAATAAGTTTGTTTCGTATTTATTTTTATTTCTACAAACTATGATAAAAGCTTGATCCACGCCTCAAGTACAGAGAAACTGCGTGTCAAACTAAGAAATGACGTCATATCATTAAGTACAGCGAGATCAAGCTGGCTTTCATTCTACATACTCACAGTGCTATCTTGGCAAGATAAGTTGCACATCCATTTATCTTTATAATATTTATGAAAAACAGAAGTATTTTAGACTGTTTTAAAAAGAACATATAATATTTATTCATCAAGATTCATATGAATTGTTTTACCGTGACATCATAATAGCTTTCCCGAACCTCTGTATAGGCTGATGTAGATATGGGAGTCCTTAACCTAGCTGCGTAGAAAGAAAGGTTATGGTAAAGGCATAGATTCGCTCTTATTAGTTTACCTGAGCCGAAGGCTCAATTTATGAGCTTTTCTGATAGAAATTTGTCCATTGTCTGTTGTTGGCATTGTCATTAGCATAAACTTTTAACATTTTCATCTTCTTCTCCAGAACTACTGTGCCAATTTCAACCAAGCAGCACAGGGTATCCTTGGGTAAAGGGAATTCAAGTTTGTTGAAATGAAGGGCCACATCCTCCTCCAAGGGGAGATAATTAAGAAATAGTGAAAATTGGGTAGGGTACATAATGTAAAAATTTTCTCCAGAACCACTGGGCCAGAAAAAAAAACTTTTGTGGGATAGTATAGATTCAAGTTTGTACAAATCATAACCCCCAGGGGTAGGATGGGGCCACTATAAGCGATCAAAGTTTTACATAGGAATACAGTGTAGATAGGAAAAATCTTGAAAATTCTTCTTCTCAAGACCAGGACATGATTAGTCATATTTGTATAGAAGCATCCTCAGGTAGTATAGATTCAATTTTGTACAAATCATAACACCTGAGGGTAGGATGGGACCACTTTGGGTGATCAAAACTTTTGCAGAGGAATACATAGAAAAAAATCTTGAAAATTCTTATCATGAATAGCAAAGTCACGATTAATCATATTTGTATGGAAGAATCCTCAGGTTGTTTAGATTCAATTTTGTTCAAATCATGACCCTAAGGGGTAGGGTGGGGCCACTATGGGCAAACAAAATTTTATATAGGAATGCATAGAAAAAATCTTAAAATTCTTCCTATCAAGAACAACAAAGTCATGTTTTGTCATATATTTGTATGGAAACATCCTCAGGTATAATGTAGATTCCAGTTTGTTCAAATCATGACCCCTGAGGATAGGGTGGGGCTATGATTGGTGATCAAATTTTAAATAGAAATATTTAGGAAAAATCTTCTTCTAGGGAGCAGCAAAGGCATGATTAGTCATATTTCTATTGAAGCATCCTCAGATTCAAGTTTGTTCAAATCATGACACCTGGGGTAGGGCTGAGGGTAGGGTGGAGCCACAATATATTATCTTAATTTTACATTGGAGTATATAGTGGAAAAATCTGATGTAGAACAGAAGGGTGTTAGTTACTCAGGTGAGCATTGTGGCCCATGGGCCTGTAGTTTAGGGATTATAATCAAAACAAATTGATCTTTTGTACACAACAGCTTAAAATTAATTTAATAATTGGATGTTCAGAAACTTTAAACATTTTGTAGGAAAAGAAAATTATCCAGTGTTCATAATCATGGTAACATTAGACTGTTTTTATGGTAAATCACATGAGACTTTGCTAAATTCAATGTTTTTTTTTGTCAATTTCAGGTGCTAGTTGGATCTCCAGGTTTAAATGAATTTGCAGGTAAAGAAATTAAAATTTCACTGAACTGTAAAAGAATGATATACATGTAAGAAGAATATAATTCTTTACACTCACTGGTACAAATTATAAGAGCTATGTTAGAAATTGAAAGGGGAACATACAGAAATGTGAACCTAAAAATGCTCATATGTTTTATCCAATGGATTGCACTTGTTGGATAAATTGTTCATTTAACACATTCTGTATTGCTACCAGGGATGGGGTAATCATAATCGAGTAATCGTAATCGATTGTAATGATTACTTTTTTTAAAGTAATCGACAGTAATCTGTAATCGAAGAGATTTTCGATTTCTTGTAATCGTAATTTAATCGATTACAGCTAAAATTTTCAATGTAACTATAATTACTTTTTCGATTACTTTCGATTATTTTATACATAAATGGATGTTATTTTGGAAAATTATTTCCAGTCAGTCACACATATGTATCCCACCTAGTGTAAAGTTTGGATTTCCTAGCTTTTATTATCATAAGTCTAATAATGTTCTCAATAAAATTTGCATTATAGACCTACTGGTCTAGTATTAAATAATTCAGAAGTGTATTTCAACCATTTATTAACAAAATATACAGATTTTTCGTGTGCATTTTACATTTGACCCACTGTCCTCTTGCTGCATGTCCTTTTTCATATTTCAGATGTTGAAAAAAACTTTGTCTTGTAATAGAAAATTATAAATAGCAAAAACAGATTTAAGTGCTGTATTAAATATAAATAATTTGGTAAATAGGTAAATATTTGGTAAATAAACTACATTGTTCTCGAAAAAAGAAGATGGAAATACTTCTTCATATCTGAAAATGTTTAATCAACTTCAAACTTGTGTTTTATAGTAACTTTAAAATTTGCAAAACCATTCTCATGTTTTCATTCAAAATTGTAAGGTTGCTTTTATATCAATGAAAGGTTATAAGTGTCTGTAAGAGAGGGAGTAAGTGTCACTGGGTTTGCTTATCTTGGCTAATTAATCAACTGAGACATCCCTGATTTGCAGATAATGAGGTGTAAACTGTGAACTACCTGGTGTTTAACCTTCATTCCATTGAAGACAAACAATATTATTAAAACAATTAATAGCTCTCAAAACACTTATTTCAATACAGAATGAAATTGTGCTATTAGTTTAATTACTTAAAGACACATTCAATTTACATGTTTATTACTAAGAGTTCTAATTTACTTATTTTTTTTTTTAAATACACGTACAGGAATGTTTAATGTGTACTGTCAACATACGGGCAGCCCAAATACTTCTAATGAAGTAATTCACAATAAAATATTAAATAATATTTGCAACAAGTCAATAAATATGGAGGTTCAGATCCAAGGTTGAAAGGAATAATTAATTCCTTGGCATATTTCATTGTAGGAATCATGTCTCCACTTTCCCTGGTAGAGAATCCCTCATTTGGGCATTTAGTGAGAATGTTAGCCAGAATAAAACCTTATAAGAATCTGCACTGAAACTGCAGGAACACATTCAAACTTCAGTATATAACATCAACATTTACCATTTAAATACATGTACTGCTTTGATATTTGAAGGGATAAAAACTTGGAAGTAATCGATTATTAATCGATTACATTTTCCAAAGTAATCGATTACAATCGATTACAGGACAAAAATGAGTGTAATCGATTAATAATCAATTACACAAATTCCTCTTAGCAATCGATTATTAATCGATTACATTTTTGAGTAATCGTGCCCATCCCTGATTGCTACACTTGGTGATGTCATATAGAAACAAGTGATTACAATTACATTTGTTTATATGGAAGTGTGAGGTAGAAATCATTGTGATTTAAGTGATAAAGTCAATTAAATGGAAAAAAAAATGCTTTCAAAATATGCACTATTTCTAGCAGTGAAATGTTAATTGTTTATGTTTTTATGCAGCATAATGCAACTGACCATTCTCACTGGAAAATGAAAGGAGGATAAAAATAACTGTATAAGAAGGTTGAACATGTAACAAAAATAAATCTTCCTTGTTTTGTAATTAATTTTTATCTAGTGTATGCATCCTTCCCCTCAGCCCAAGATATGCTCAGAGATGAAAACAAAAATCTCACTGAAAAAAGATCTTATCCAATTGTAAAATTGGAGATCTTATATTTATCATATCAAACTTTTGCTGGAACAGGAATAAATCCAAAAAAATCCAAAAAAAGTCTTGATTTTATATAATTTAAATAATCAAATGAACTTAAGTAATAGTCTTTATGTGAAGGTTCAATGTATGCTTTATTTTAATGAATTCATTAATTTAAAACATAATAACTCTGCTGAAAACAGGTGGCGTTGTCAATGTTAAGGGAGCAACCACCACTGTAAAGGCTGAAGAAACGACAGAAGCCAGACAGGGACAGATGTACGGTAGGTAAAAAATAGAAAAAAATGTACAGTCCTTGAAACTAAGCCCTGTCCCCCGTGGCCTGAAACCTGAACCCAGGGGACATCAGTGTCATAGTTTTGGTTGAAGGCTAGCTGCTTGTTATATTTAGGTTGGCTAAATGTCCATGAATAAAGTACTACATGTACCCATATTTTATATTTATTATTTTAATTGCTCTACATATTATGTATGTTTGCTCAGTGTTACTGACGCAACTCGATTCTTGCAATTATTCTGCAGTCTTCAACATATTAGAAACTCAAGAAATTGAACTGAAATCTGTGTTTTTCTTTTCACAACTTGCAGAGGTTGTTTTTTGCAGGTTATGCGATTGGTGTTGGCAGGTTCTATGATGTAGTCACGTATTACTTTGCCTTTGGTGGACCAAGGGATGGTGGCTCAGGCAAGGTAAATCACTCTTCCCCACAGTTATTTCCCCTTCAAGCCTGAAGTTTATGTATTGCACTATTACTATGCAAGTGCACTGTTACTAGTATGAACTGTTTTCAAAAATTAATATGTTTTTTTTTTTTGACATATAGACTAAATATTGAAGTTATCAGCCCCCATCTCCTCCAACATTTACAACATTGAATATGTGGAAAATTGACTATTATAAGAAGAGAGCTGGCTTTTTACCACATTAACCCATTCCAAGCAAAAATAAAGTATTTTATGACTGAAACATTTTTTTTTCATTGTAGGTAGTGATAAAGGGCACAGATTATACAGTGAAGGAAACATTGGTCGGAAAAGAGGTGAGGTCAAGTTAAGGTTTCAAAAATATTCAGGACCACTGGTTATAAAAAGATGAGCTACAAAAATACACAGAAACTATGCTTGTAAAAATTCCAACTATGCCTGTAAAAATTATTAAGCCTTAATGCATCATATGCATGGATACTTGAAAGAGTAAGGTTCACTTTATGCATAAAATGGCCCTGTAGATATACCAATTTATTGACTAATACCCCGTGTACCATTTTCAACATTCTTATAAAGTAGACACTTAGTGTTTTCAGTTTATACAACAGAATTTCCTTTGAAGAGTCCAGGCATTGAAAAACAGGTTGTGTGAAATTGCAATGTTATTGAATTTCGCAGAAAACAGGTGTTTTTGAGAACCTTCAGCAAAGAATTAAAATATGAGCACACCCCTCGATCCAAAAATTAAAATATGTTTTATAATTTTCATTAACAGTTCTTTTACAATATATTTACACATTTTGGATCGGAGGTTGTGCTGTATATGAAATATTGAAAAATGGCAGCATAATTTGGCTATTTTTGAAGAAATATTCAGGATATGTGAATAATGACGCAATTCATGACGTCATAATGCATTGACTAGAAAGAAAATTACGTCATTTTCAGTAGATATTCATTCACCAAGTGCTCAAGTATTATTCATTGCCTTGTTGACTAAAACTATACAGTTTTCAATTTTCAGAAATTCACAGGGCCAAAAAAGGCCCTAAGTGGCTCTTGCTCTTTATTTCAAATGTGTAGATACAGCTGAAGACTTATATAACAGATCAGAAAAGTTTTTGACATGGAAGCGAAGCAGACACTATTTTTTTTGGTTAAATTTTTGCAGCCTGGGAGTTATTTTGGGTCAGTGTTGTGTGTTGTACCTGGACAGAACAATGCTCCAGATCATCTACTGGTAGGAGCCCCAATGTACAGTAACATGAAGACGTACACCAACTACTATAATAGCAACCAGGAACAAGGGCGAGTGTATGTCTACGGAAAAAGTCAAACTACTGTAAGTCCACAGAAAAATTCAAACTAATGTAAGTCTACAGTAAAAATCAAACTAATGTAAGTCTACAGAAAAAGTCAAACTAATGTAAGTCTACAAAAATAGTCAAACTACTGTTAGTCTACAGAAATAGTCAAACCAATGTAAGTCTACAGTAAAAGTCAAACTAATGTAAGTCTACAGAAAAAGTCAAACTAATGTAAGTCTACAGAAAAAGATTAACTAATGTAAGTCTATAGAAAAAGTCAAACTAATGTAAGTCTACAGAAAAAGTCAAACTACTGTAAGTCTACAGAAAAAGTCAAACTAATGTAAGTCTATAGAAAAAGTCAAACTAATGTAAGTCTATAGAAAAAGTCAAACTAATGTAAATCTACAGAAAAAGTCAAACTAATGTAAGTCTATAGAAAAAGTCAAACTAATGTAAGTCTATAGAAAAAGTCAAACTAATGTAAGTCTATAGAAAAAGTCAAACTAATGTAAGTCTACAGAAAAAGTCAAACTAATGTAAGTCTACAGAAAAAGTCAAACTAATGTAAATCTACAGAAAAAGTCAAACTAATGTAAGTCTACAGAAAAAGTCAAACTAATGTAATTCTACAGAAAAAGTCAAACTAATGTAAATCTACAGAAAAAGTCAAACTAATGTAAGTCTACAGAAAAAGTCAAACTAATGTAAGTCTACAGAAAAAGTCAAACTAATGTAAGTCTACAGAAAAAAAGTCAAAGTAATGTAAGTCTACAGAAAAAAGTCAAACTAATGTAAGTCTACAGTAAAAGTCAAACTAATGTAAATCTACAGAAAATGTCAAACTACTGTAAGTCTACAGAAATAGTCAAACAAATGTAAGTCTACAGAAATAGTCAAACTAATGTAAGTCTACAGAAATAGTCAAACTAATGTAAGTATACAGAAAAAGTTAATCTACTGTAAGTCTACAGAAATAGTCAAACTACTGTAAGTCTACAGAAATAGTCAAACTAATGTAAGTCTACAGAAAAAAAGTCAAACTAATGTAAGTTTACAGAAAAAGTCAATCTACTGTAAGTCTACAGAAATAGTCAAACTACTGTAAGTCTACAGAAATAGTCAAACTACTGTAAGTCTACAGAAATAATCAAACTAATGTAAGTCTACAGAAAAAGTCAAACTAATGTAAGTCTACAGAAAAAGTCAAACTAATGTAAGTCTACAGAAATAGTCAAACTAATGTAAGTCTACAGAAATAGTCAAACTAATGTAAGTCTACAGAAAAAGTCAATCTACTGTAAGTTTACAGGAAAAAATCGAACTAATGTACATCAAAGGTGAAAAACCAAATTAATGTACCTCAACATGAAAAATCAAACTAACCCAAATATACAGGAAAAATTCAATCTATTGAAAGTCCTGATAAGAGTCAAAGTAATGAAACTGTACAGTAAAAGTCAAACTGATATAAGTGTACAGTAAAAGTCAAACTGATATAAGTGTACAGTAAAAGTCAAACTGATTAAGTGTACAGTAAAAGTCAAACTGATATAAGTGTACAGTAAAAGTCAAACTGATATAAGTGTACAGTAAAAGTCAAACTGATATAAGTGTACAGTAAAAGTCAAACTGATGTAAGTGTACAGTAAAAGTCAAACTGATATAAGTGTACAGTAAAAGTCAAACTGATGTAAGTGTACAGTAAAAGTCAAACTGATATAAGTTTACAGTAAAAGTCAAACTGATATAAGTGTACAGTAAAAGTCAAACTGATATAAGTGTACAGTAAAAGTCAAACTGATGTAAGTGTACAGTAAAAGTCAAACTGATATAAGTGTACAGTAAAAGTCAAAGTAATGTAAGTTTATTTTCAAATTATTAAATGAGGTCTTTGAAGATTGGCCCTTTTGATTTTAACTTTACAAGTGTTGTAATACTTCAATATACATAACACTTTATGGCATATGTACATCAGAAAAAAGTGATAAAAAACTATACATAAATGACCTGTGAATTGAATGGACAAAACTGGCTTTGAACATTATCTATTTTTCCATGCTTAGGAACCACTTTGAAGCCAAGATGATAATCATTACAATTAAGAGCAGTGCTATTTTTAGGTCACCTGAGAAACTCATGATACTCAGATGACCATCAAGACAGTCTCTTTCTTTCAATTTAGGACAAATTAGAAGTGAAACAGACACTAGAAGGGTCCAAAGCCAGAGGTGCCAGATTTGGTTTCGCCATGGCCAACCTTAACGATTTCAACAAGGATGGCTATAATGGTAAGTCTAAATTATGAATAGATCAAAATAACTATGGTGCAGACCCAGTAAAGCCCCAAAAGATAAATGTGGATGATATTTAATTTGAATTCCCCCCCCCACCCCTTAAAAAAATTCAGATAGAATGAAAACTGCAAAAATTTACTTGAGGTGTGTAAAACATCAATGGATATCATTACCAGCTTCATGAAAATGGAGATTTTGCAGCTTAAAGTGTTCTCTTACAATTTTACTTCTGGGTTGTACTGTGTTTCACAACCAATTTCAGAATACCAAATAATATTTTTTTTTCCGATATCCTGCAGTTGAATTTCTGAGTTATATTTAGCCTGCAAGATTTGAGAAAAGTACTTCTTTAAAGACAGACATTAAGTGGATACACTTAGAAAGTTTATCCTCTACTTTAAAATAAAATATTTTAAAGAGGAGATACTTGATTGTTTTAAAAATATACCGGTACTTCATTTAAAACTTAACAAGGCATGTACTTATACTGGTAACTTGAATAATGGTATATCCTTCCTGTTTCCCATTTTTTCACATTATGAGAATTAATGTTGTAGTATCATATTTTCTCCCATTGACTACATGTATTTTACATTATCTTCATCTCCTCAATTCTAAAATATTTTACAATGTTGTGTGGGTCAAGTGGCGGGGAAGGAGAGTTTATCAAAGTAAACCTTGACTGTGAAATCTCTGTTTCTCATCTGCATGTATAACCATTGTAAAACATTGTACTGCAGGATTGTAGATTCTTAGGCCTTTGCCATTTTTACTGAGAAATGAATCAACCTTAATTAATACATGTAGCTTCAATTAAAAATTGCTTTGTATGTCAACTTTGAAAGTACTAGAAGTACAGAGAGTCAGGCTCATTTACAGAGTAGTGAATTAACAAAGACCTTTGTACATGAAACATATGTTGTCATAACATATATTATAACAAGAAGAATATAAATAATATAACACTAAATAGGATATTTTTTTGACATATAATATAAATTTAAAAATGTCAAAAAATTGATATAAAATTTAATTGGAATTTAACTATGTCAACAATTTATCAAATTATCGTTTTGGGGTCTTATGCAACTTGTAGTTCCATGTAAAGAAATATTGATACTGCAAGGTCAAACATTTGCACACAGATGAGGTCTAGATGGGGCTGAGTTTTGCAGCAAGGTGTACATCAAGTGCTCCCCTCGTTAGTGTTGATAAAACAACCTATATTTATAGATTGTGATGTAAAAAGGAGGGATGAACCCTTTTCACTATATTAATCAATTTTAAGTCAACTGAGGAACATGGGTGAATAACATTACCATTAATGTTAATTTGTCTAGAAAAATCCTCAGCTTACCTTACTTTGATTTTGTTTTGTCTCAGAAGTGGATTCGAGCAGGCACTACATTTCTAGGCGTAAATTTAATTTGGGTGTGAAGAGTAAGCCTATTTTGTTGAACACCGTGACAAAAGCTAGCTAATGCTCATTGAGCAATATGAGCCCAGCTAAAAATCATTAATTTTAATATTCTTTGCCTGATTGTGAGATAGAGTTGTCTACCTTTGTAACTGGATTATTAACCCTGGTAACATCTTTTTGTTTGTCTGTAGATGTAGTTATTGGCGCCCCCTTTGAGAGTGAGGGACAAGGAGCAGTGTACGTGTATATGGGGTACAAGAGGGGATTTTACTTGACACAGACAATTACTGCCGCAAGTGTGGCCCCCTCTGGTACAACACTTTCCACCTTTGGCAGCTCATTTACTCAGCACCCAGCAGATTTTAACGGCGATGACCATGCAGGTATGTGAATATGTCTGAGGATAATCTGAACATAATGGCTGTGTTACTGGGTATTCAGTTACAGGTACTTGCATGTATTTCAGCTTTTTTTCACAGCTTTTTTTTCAGCTGCATTTGTAACTTTGCTATATTTCACAGCTGATATAATAATTACACTGATATTAAAATTAAAATAGATATTGTTAAATATGACAAGATAAACTTATGGAGTAATCAATGACATGGCTTAGAGAATGACCTTGAGTGAAGTTTGTAGAGTAAATTTCAATTTGTTGGTTAATGAATGCAAATTTGAATGTTTGGTGTGCTAGCTCATGCTAGCTGGGCTCAATTGAATTTCTGTTCAAGTTTATAATTTTTTTTTACATACTTAAAAACTATGCTTCTCAAACACTGGCCTTTCTGCCCAAAATGGCAGATGAAATGTTTAGTTGAATGAACAGTCGGCATGACATTTTTGCCTTTATGACATTTTTGCTTTATGACTGTTAATGGGGGATAACTCTCTTTAGTGATATATTTTTCTCTTAACAGAGTTATCATTCTTAATTATTTCAAGAGCTCTTTCTAGGATATTTTGAAAAGAAAAGCTCTAGTATCCATAGAATTTTTTTTTCAATTTCTTTTTTAAACTTTTAAATATATAAGCCTGCAAAATAATAAAAGTTGAACATATTCAAGTACATGAATTAGAAATTTTCAGACTTTTATTTTGTGATATTTCAGATTTAGCTGTTGGTGCTTACAATTCAGACATGACCTTTATCCTGTATACCAATCGTCCAATCACAATGATAGTGGACACTAAGACGAACCTCACACTACCTGTTGGAGGGGGAAAGGCTACAATTATACCTCAAAACACTGAGGGATTCACACTTAATGTGTGCTTTGATTACGAAGGAAATAATATCCCCTCTGATGTGTGTAAGTTATTGTATACATTTATATATATACATGTATGTATCAATGTAATGATGAATCAAAGTTAAGGGTATATGAAGATGGCGGGAACATAAGCAGTAGAAACAGCATGAAAAAAATCATGTCTGGCTTAGTCAGTATAACGTAAGAAGTAACCAAAATTTATACTATGATTAAGTTTCTGTATTTCAGTGGTGACTTTTACGGTAACGGCAGACACAGCCTTTAGGACCAGCAGTGGTTCCAATGTGGACCGAGTCTGCTTCAAACAGTCAGAAACAACTTGTGTAGAAAAAATGACAGGGAGTTTCACGATATTCAAGGCTCCTGCAGAGCTGACCTGTCCAAAGTCTCCGTTACAAGTCCTCATTAAAGATGACTGGGTAAGGTTGTATTCTAACCTTAAAGTCTCCATTACAAGTCCTCATTAAAGATGACTTTCTTACTTTAATGTCTACGTTACAAGTCCTCATCAAAGATGACTGAGTAAGGCTGTATTCTTACCTTAAAGTCTCCATTACAAGTCCTCATTAAAGATGACTTTCTTAATTTAATGTCTACGTTACAAGTCCTCATCAAAGATGACTGAGTAAGGCTGTATTCTTACCTTAAAGTCTCCATTACAAGTCCTCATTAAAGATGACTTTCTTACTTTAATGTCTACATTACAAGTCCTCATCAAAGATGACTGAGTAAGGCTGTATTCTTACCTTAAAGTCTCTGTTACAAGTCTTTATCAAAGATGACTCGGTAAAGTGGTAACTAAATAAGGCTTGCTACACAAGTAGAATGCAAGAAGTTTCATATTCTAAGCATCAGGTCCTGATTTTGATGATAGCCATTGTTCCGATAAAAAAAAAATGCGATTCTCATCAAACCATCTCTCTTTCTATAGTTTTGGTATGATTTCAGAAAATTTGGAGCCTGAGCAGATTTCACATCTGTATATATCTATCAAATTGCCATTATATAAATCCTTTACAGTGTTGTATTATACTGTTGACCATTAAGGCCCTTGGGCCTCTGTATATATAATAAATTACGTCATGTAATTTTGTTATATAGAACAAGATGAGAGGTTTGTTTGTTCCCGTGGTTTTTGATGTGGAGTTCACCGTCTCCACAAGTGGAAGCACTGAGTGCACTGTAGGATGCCCTGTCGTTAATAAGTTTGATCCGAATAATGACGACCCATTCGCCAAGACTCGCAAATATTCAGTAAGTGATTTATCACAAGTGTGATAATATTCATTCAGTGGAATGTGCATTGTTTATTTCTGTGTCGATTTTAAAAACCCAGATAATTGCATTTTTATGTCTGTAAATTTGATGCACCCTTTAATTTATATCAACTTTTGATTATTTTAAGTATGAACTGGCAAGAGATGGTTGTGGGAGTGACAACATCTGTCAATCGGATGTAAAACTTATGGTCCAAGCATCAGACAGCATCGTAACGGGACCCCAGGCCGAATACATGATTGACATCACTGTTAGTAACAATGGAGAGCCCTCGTACAACACTGAAGTCTTCTTTAATTTCCATGCTAACATGACCCTCTCAGAAACAATCACTAAAAACCTCCCCATAAGCTGCTCCCCAGACATTGGAACGGTGCAGTGTTCCCTCAATAAGCAGAAGATGGCAAGAGGTGAAATTTTCAGTTTTGGTATCAAACTGGACAGTAGTAAAGTCCTGCCGTTAATTAACTCATTTTATTTGAGTGTTGAGGTGAAGTCGGACAGTAACGACCTCAGTACACAGGACAATGTTTACAGAAAATCAGTGGATTTAATTACAAAAGTGGACGCCAGCTATAATCTGTAAGTATCCTTCTCGTCTTATTAATTGTGATTCAAACACCTCTGTCAATTTTACAAAAGCAGAAACTTACACTTTCAGTTTTGTAATTATCTTACATAATGGAGGAAAGAAAATGACATGACCATTTGTAGACAAATTTGTTTTTAAAGTTGATCATTTTTCCAATCAAAGAAAATGTCACTATTTTGTACCTGATTTTGATGTTTTGATTTATTAAAGGGCCGCTAACCCTGAGGTTTATATAACTAAAGTAGCCCCAGAAAAACCCACTATAGAAGTATACCACAGTGTACAGATTGTAAATACTGGACCTAGCAATCTACTGGACACATTGACCTTTAACGTTAAATACCCACAGTCCAGCCAAGTTAAACCAACTAAAATCGTAAGTTGCCAAATAATAAATACTGGATCTAAAAGTATAGACTTTTGTCAACTGTCTTTAAGCAGATACATGTAAAAATATCAAGTTTTTAACAGCAGCTGCTTTTCAAGACAAGTCTCAAACAAAGATTTACATTGTATTGAACTTTGATAGTTACTGCATCTATTTGGGTAATTCAAGTGTAAATGCACTTTGTTTACTCTTCAATACATGTATCTGGGATAGCATTTCCTAAGTTTTTGTTACTCGTGTGCAATCTCTTTGACATGTATTGTCAAATATGTTCAAAACCATATATATGTATTTTTTGAGAATTTAAAATTCACACAATAGACTTCACCTTAATTGAAATATGGACAATTTTGCAATTAGCAGTGTAATAATTTAGGAAAATTTGATAAACTGTTTATCTCATACAGTATTTTAAGATAGCTACCACAGTAAGTAACTTTGCAGAGTTGTGAATAACAAAGCTTCCATATTATAATATCTTGAATTTAGTCATTGATGTTATAAGTGCACTTCAACACTAATGTCAAATAAAAGATATAAATATTTTGCTTTTTTTGTGATCCTATAATTAAAAAAAAATATTAAATACGTAATACAAACTTTAGGTGTTTTTAAATTTAAAAAAAAAAAAATGCCATATCAAATAGTGTGTTTGATCTTTGTGTAGGTTCTAAATGTTTCCTCTGCGACTGACGACACACTGATAAGATGCGAAAATCTTCGGTTACAACCAGAGGGATTGACGAATCTGACCTACAGAGCATTCACCATTCCCATTGATGAAGCGGGAAATTCAAAATCAGGCACCAACTTCGTAAGTGTCATTCTTATTTTAGAAGAAAAAGAAATCATTCGATTTATGATTGTTTTCAGTTTTCAGCATTATTTCTGAATTCTTATTTTACATGTATTTTCTGCTGTTTTAAAACAAGATTATTCTTGGGACATACATGTAACACTGCAATAATATAAACAAAAATGCTGAGGCGCGTTTGGTCATATGACTGGGACAGCATGGCATTGCAGATAATATACAAAACATGCCAACCTCAATCCAGTTTTAAATGTTAAATGTATTTGTCATTCCAATTAAAGAATAGATGAACTAAAAGACATATGTAAGAGAGCGAGAACCATTAATTTATCTTCCATTAATAAAAAATATGACATTTCCGAGGCATGTGTATTGTATTTAAATGTACCATACAATAAATAGATACGTACGATCAACAGTAGATATAAATTGATATCGTTGTCATTTCTACTCTTAATGTATATAAAGTCCACAACAATAAACTATTTCATCTGCATTTTGTTAGGATTTGTTCATCGACATTCAACATATTGTTTACATGTTTATGTTATGTTTGTCCCAGAAATCCCGTGAGATTTGTACATTATCCGACTTTTTCACAAAAGAGCGCACTAAGAAGTATAACTCAACAGAAGTGGAAATAGAACGTATTGGCATTAGAAATTGCTTTTTTCCCTTCTAAATTTAGATGCTTAAATTTATTAGTGTATTCTTCACAGGCACACAAAGTGTGCAGCTGATGCAAAAATTAAGGAATGATAATTGATATTCTAAACTACAGTGTTCCAAGGAATGTGTGTGTTGCCTGGTTTATAGCATCATCAAAGACTAAAATAAATCTAAGGGTGGTCAACTGTTTATTTGCTACTACATGTAGCAATATAGTTCAGGCATTTACCTGCAAAGAAAAAACATCTATGAATAATAAGACCAATAGAGTAGCATTTTTTTTCATATAAAATCTGACAATCAAATAGAAATATGATTCCCCAACCTTCAAAGCTAGAATGAAGAATGAAATTGAAATTATTTTTTTATATCATTAATACCTGTTAAAACTAGCTATCCTCCAAAAGAGATTTCATTATGTCTTGACTGCAGTTGTCATTCTACAATGATCCTTTGGGTACGTATATACTAATCTCAATGTGTTTTCATAATATTTTAAACTTAAGTTGTTGTGGTATTTGTATAGCATACAGTTTCAAAGTACAGTGTCATGAGGTCATAAACATGTGATACAACTGCAAATGCCAAATTAAACACTGCCTCTTTGAACAGACACAAGTTCAATCAACCATCCTGAGTAGTTTTGCAAAAGTAGGTCAAAGATCAAGGTCAAGTGGACTGTAACACTGGTATTTTCCATAATGTTTTAAGGCAAACAGTGCATATGGTGACAAGCATAGAATTAATTCTAAAATGTCAAATATATGCTGTATATCAGCACAATTGATAATTTTGAAAAGTAGGTCAAAGGTCAAATTTAAGGGTCAGGAGGTTGGTAACCATGGTATATTTTACAAAAGTCAAAGTGCCAAGCAATATATCAAATCCATACCTCTTACAGTTCTTAGAGACAGTCAGATAGACAGACGAACAGATGTTGGGTAAAGTGATCTCCAAGTGACACTCTGCTCTGCAAGCATCACAATAATTTTAAGATGGACTTTTTATGGGTAGAAACATGAGTTGTATAAAATTTTGTTTTTAAAAATATTTTCAGGATTGTAGTGGAGCAGGGACATGCTCTAGGCTAGAATGTGACATTGGGACCTTTATGTATGATAGCTTCATATCAGTGGATTTTTCTTTTGAGGTCGTCCAAAACTTGTACAATATAATAAATGTAAGTATATGCTACAATTAATCATGATGATAGAGTGTTGGTTTCCTTGCAGTGCTTAAAGCTGTAAATATTTTTATGCTTATTTGCAAGGAAAAATGATAAATGGTTTCAATAACATGTAAGCTTTTACTCTTAATAGCTTTACACTCTCTGAATATTAGCCAGTTCTATTCTCACACTATTGTGTATGACAATGCCCATTTCAAGTAACTAGCCAAATAGAATGACCAGACTTTACATTGATTTAGATATTTGTATCATACATTGGGAAAAAAACTACAAAATGAATAAATGTTTATCATATAGAAACAAAACAAATTTGTTCAGATACATTGTATTGACCATATGATTTTTTGGCAGTATGCTTACCATTTCAAATATTTGTTCATCATTACATATGACTTCATTACATAATTTTTACATCATAAATTTTGCATCAGTACATTTGAAACCATGCATTGGACATCATTACATTAGTTTCTTCATTATATATTTAACAACATTACGTTTTACATCATTACATTTGACAACACATATGACATCATTACATTTTACATCTTTGTGTATCACGTCACATTATACATGACTACATTGACTCATATGTTGAACACATAGAATTTCATATCTCAAACACAGGATAAAACTATGCCATTCAGTCAGAAAGGTTTGCAAAGGTGGATGAATGACAGGGCTAATTTTTAGCATTTTAATTTTTAAGCATTATCATTCTTTAAAAAAACAATCCCTTACCCTAGCTGTTTTAAAGTTTCAACTTTTTATTTTTGAATTGGTTTGGCTTTTGTATTGAATTAGTGAATTGTAATAAAATGTCAGTGCTTTGTATGTCTAATCATGGTCATGTCTTTGACCAACTTTTCTTGTTTGATAGGGGATTGAGGTGAGATTTATCTAAATATATAAATGTGTTGTGTTTTTAATTGCTCTTTGTGATTGTAATAATTTTTCCCATTTAGTTTTTAATTAACATCCCATGGGTAAAGAAACATAACAATATAGTTATTTAACTCTGTAAACTAGAGAGAACTCAAAAAACACAGCTATCTCTGTATACCTGTTTTAGTGAAAAGTTTATTAGTGAGAACATATAATAATCATATGAAAAATCACACTGTCCTATATTTTACACTTGTTCATGCTGACAAACTTCTCATGGCTGAGACATCAATTGATTCATTATTTACAACAAGAACAGGTGCAGTTTAGTATTCCTGCTTATATGTTTCTAAGGATTAGTATGATTGTTATTACAAGTTGAAAAAGAAAGATAACTCAATTATGCACATGAAAAAATATCATTTGCTTTTTTTTTTCAAGAAAACCTCGACAGGATTTATTATACAAATGAATTCTCCTTAATATTTCTTTTTAGATGACAAAATATTTGCATGTGAATTTTCATACAGACCCTGAAACGTGTTACTACCCCAAAAAAGCGTGTGACTTTCGTGCGCTTTTCGTTTCGTGCAAACCGTGTAGCGTTTCGTGTAAACCGTGCAGCGTTTCGTGCAAACCATGTAGCGTTTCGTGTAAACCGTGCAGCGTTTCGTGTAAGCTCCAAAGCGTTTCGTGCAAACCGTGTAGCGAGCGTGCGAGAAGCGTGTGAGAAACGTGCGACTTTCGTGTAAGAACCGTGTGTGAAACGTGCGACTTTCGTGCAAGAATCGTGTGAGAAACGTGTAGGATTCATTCGGAAGTCTTCTTATTTTAAAGATGGCTATTGATGGATCAACATGTCATTCTGTGTTGTTTGTGACTAATATTATTCGGATATATCATACCAGTGGTATTTTAAGAGTGAAATAATACGGAAACAACAAAATAAAATTACTCGGTAATGTATTACATATTTGTTTGATTTTCTTTCTTTTTTTTTTATTTCAATAAAGATGGACAGAAAATGTGTTAAAAGTAATTAATTATATGCACATAAATTTTAAGGTATTTGATTCAATACATTTTTTAAGGGAGCAATACTGAACATTTTTTAAAAGAAAATTCATTAGAAATCCGGTCTTGTCCTTTTCATTCATTTATTCGAATCTCTTCAACATTCTACAAATTATGGGATGTGGGATTACAAAAACATATCGGTGATTCATACAAAATAATAGATAAATATGGCAGGCGTGAAAAATAAAATGCAAAATTTAGTGTGTTGCTATAAATGTGAAATATTGGAATTCTAGGCCGGGGAGCACAGTTAATTTATTTTCTTTATAAAAGAACATAATTTTCTTATATTACAAGATTGTGATGCAAATTATTTTGGAACGATGAGTCATTTATAGTTTTTTTATGCAAAAAATTGGTTTATTAATAATAGTCATATAAATGAATTGTAATTCACAAGCATCGACAAATACAGGGTTAAATATTTCCGGGAGGGGGGGGGGGTGATCAAATGAAAATACTGAGTTTTTGTTGTTAACAAGTTTTATTAATGATTTTCTTTTTTAAAATAATCTAATGCTTTTATGCTTTTTTCGGGGTGCGCCCGATGCACCCCTTAAAAATATTGTAATTTTCTTTACACTTTCAACACTTTTCTTACGACTGTGATCAAGGTCATTTACAACAGCAATCACGGCTTCCGCGTGCCGGGACTGAAAACTTGTTCTCCAAGTATCTCTTGTCAATCATAGATAAGATGACAACCGACAATAACGATTGATTTTTAATTTGTGAATTAAACGGTTTTATTAGTATGTAATGGGTATAGATAAATACCCGTGGATTTTATTTCATAAATTTATCCGATTGTCTGTAAACAGTGAATTAATTTGCCAGTGCATTCGTAAATAAAATAAATCCTGAATAGTCGTACATGTATATTAGTTGTTTTATTAATCACGCTGTTCTAGAGCATATTTTTTTTTTAGTTTTTAGGACATTGGACATGTATACATATATATTGAATGGTAGCGGTGATTATTGATTACATAAATTACTGATTTTTTTTTTGTTTTTTTTTTGTCTAGACGCGGTTTGAAATGAAGGATTTTAAAAGGTGGTGGGTATAATATTGTTTTTATTTGATAAACCAATGCCTCAAAAGAGAACTAAATAATTACAATACTTATCCCCCGGCTTTTCTACCATAAAAAATTTAAAAGATTAAATAAAGTTTAACTCTGTAATGAAACGATATATTTACCATTTACCATTTTGAATAAAGTGCATTTAATGAATTACATGTATCGGGTTCCGCTACAGATATGGATATCCTTTTTTTTTCTTAGAACGGGCACTTGTTTCTATAATATTTTTCCCCCTATGGTATACTTACTGAAACAAGTGCCCGTTATATTTAGTCATGTACAGATTTGAAGATACAACAGTAAGATCTCCGTAATCTAACCCCCCCCCTTTTCCTGCACAATGTTCCTGTTAGATGCAGTTTATATATTACCTTTGCAAATTATTAACAGAACCTAATTTTATCAAATGAAATTATTTTTTTTTTTACTAAATCAAAAAATGTATAAATCAATCAATAATTAAAAAGGGAAAAGAAAATCAATCCGTTTACAGAAATCATACGCAATTGAATCATTTTTTTTTCAAATCAATAACTGAGTTTATTTGTTAGTAATAAAAAGACTATTTAATATCAAACTATAATTGGAAAAACATTAAATGCTGTGAAAGATTATGAATTACAAATATGATATTTTTTTTAGTGCGTAATTTAGAGTCTAGTAAAAAAAGCTTTGTACACAGACGATAATAAGTATTTCACCGGGCGGGTCACATACTCACTGACAACTACATGTATGTATTAATTACAACTGAACATTGAGTATTTTATCTGTTAATATAGTACTGGTGTAGCGAGTTTTAATTTAAACTTAATCTGAATGATTGCAATTCTTAACTAATCTTTGATTAATCCGTAATAGTTGAAATAAAGTCCGAGAGATTCCGAATAGAAAATCCAGATCGAGGCCAAAGCGTGCGAGAATCGTGTACAAAGCGTGTGAGAAACGTGTACAAAGCGTTTCGTGCAGGCTTTCGTGTAAACCGTGCAGCCTTTCGTGCAAAGCGTTTCGTGTAAACCGTGTAGTGTTTCGTGCAAACCGTGTAGCGTTTCGTGTAAACCGTGCAGCGTTTCGTGCAAACCGTGTAGCGAGCGTGTACCGTTCGTGCAGCGTGCGTGTGGGGTAGTAGCACGTTTCAGGGTCTGTATGAATATGGTAAAATTTTCAATTAATTTTGTCCAAAAAGAAAAACTGAGCATGCAAAGTTTCTTTTTCCTATGTTTAATGTTTCCTCTCTTGATTAAAGCCTTTCCTGGATTTTCTTGAGAAGTTGATTTCTTCTCTGTGGTCCAAGGACGCAATTTTAATTTTCCCCTTAAATTTGTTAATTACATTTTTAAAATTAAAAGATATACAAACACAAATAACCATCCATTTTACTCATAAATAGAGGTAATTTTCCATTCAGAGGATGTGAATTTATATTTCAACCAAAATGTAACATAAATGTGCTTTGTTTCCTTAGAATTATGTTATAGATTCCTCTTGTGAAGTAAGTAAATGAAGAGATATGTATTAAATCATCATAATTTTGATACTATACTCAAAAATAAGTTCTTTTGAATTTCTGCAATATTCCTGTAAATCTCGTATCCAAATATACTTTTCAATCTGAATACCATTATAAATAAACCAAGTTAAATGCTTGGTACATGTTTGATTTCAGTCACCACACAATAATTTAACTCCATCTGTAATGGGCAATGAAAAAAAAAATCTTGTTAAGTTCATATCCTATATTCTGTGTTGACCAGTAGACCTTTTCACAAAAAATCTTAAGTTTTTGCATAGGATTTTAACTTAAGAATCTCTTACGACAAATCTTAAGTGCGTTTCACAAACGCATTCGTAGCAGATTGAACTTAAGATTTTACTTACGACAGATTTCATCCCTAGCAACGACTTCAATATGTTTTATTATCTTTAAATCAATGGGTGAAAATAAAAATAAAACTTAGTTTTCAACATATGTCAGCATAACAAACATTACTGACTACAAATATCGAATGCAATCGTTTGTGAAGCAGGGAAGTTTAAAATCTGACGTCACAATCACAAGTCTGACGTAAAAGTAGGTCATACGAAAATCTTAAGTGAAACTTAAATCATAAATATTTTGTAGTGTATTTCATTTAATTTTTCGACATTGATTGTGATAAGAATATAAAATATTAATGGAAGTTTCTTAAAAAAGTTCAATTTAATGTGTATTTTGGTTTTTGTGGTTATATTTTTACAATTAAATCTGTTTTAAAATACTTAAGAGAGGGTTGGGGCTCTCGTAAAGTTACGACCGGTTTTGCACTTAAGAATTTCTTAAGAATTTTTGTGAAAATTAACGATTTTTATCATAAGTTTTCACTTAAGATAAAAATATGTCGTAAGATTTTTTGTGAAAAGATCCACAGCTCTCAAAAGTAAAATATATCACTGTAACAATATATAATATAAAAATCTGATAAATAAAAATTGATGTACTGCAGTAATAAAAAAGATTTGAAGTATTACTATGAATATTTTAAGATATATTTTGCATTGGTAGAAGAAAATTGTTCTTTGCATTGCTTATTGAATATGTTTATACACCTGCATTTATAAAATAATCCTCGTTTATTTGTTTAAATATTTATTCTGTAAATTAACATTATTTGTTAGGAGAGTGTTTCACATTTTTTTTCTAGTTAATATTTAAAGGAAAAAGTTAAATGAAGCACCCCTTTTTGAAGGGGGATGGAAGTATTTTTTTTTATTATCTGCCTCAGCAGCGGCCGGTCTATTTGTGGTTGTGTTTGAAAGTGTACGCGGGGAAATCAGACGTTATTTCTCTATTAGTTCAGTAAAATAATTCTTTAGTGATAACGTATAAAATCATGAGTGAAATATTTTGAAAATTTGCTTTAAAATAAGTCTTAATTGTAACAGTTGTTATTATATTTCAATTTCATTTCTCTTCAGAAAATATTAATTTAAGATTATAAAAGAAGAGTTTACAATAGGTACTCCCCAACCAAGGAGTGTGTAAGATATATACGCAAATCATTATGATTTTCCAGATAATAATTAAGTGGTAAAAGTGCATGATGAATAAAAATTAAAAAGTTGTTCAACAAGTAAAAATTGTTTTGAATGTGCTACAGCTGCGAATGACACAAGGATTTTTTCTACATTTTCACTGCGCCGTGCAGCATAGCCTACTCTGCAGAAATCATAGGCATCATCACATGACAAAGATCCAGGGTATCAGCATGTGGTTCATCTTGCGATCTGAATATAAATAAGCCTACGTCTTGTTGACAAGAAATTCTTATCATTTATCACTGCCTTTATTAAATCTATGAATCAATTTTGATGAACAAATGTACTAAAATTTCTATTTATTACTGGTAATTTTATTTTTCTTTAAAACAGTCTGAAATAAAAACTATCCCTCTTTCAGCTTCGAATATCTTGTGCTTTCCTTGAATGAAAGTACTTTTTGAAATGCTTAATTTTTTTTGCGGCTGATTTGATGCTTTGCATCAATTTTATTTGTCTTGCTTGTCTCTCTGTTTTTTTCCCCCCATCATTCTAGGTTTTGGTCAGTGGCAAATGGAAAACAATACTTAATACTTCACATTCTAATTAATAGGAATAAATTTTTATGAAATTATGCCTGAAAGTCTAATGTTGTAACGTTTTTAATAAATATATGTTGTAGTATGGAATGCCTTTTGATAGTACATCCCGCTACCATGGCAGTATATAATCTCTCTGATAATATTGATAACAGAACACATATATCGCTTCTTAAGTGGACCAAAATTTTACAAGGAATTTAAGGAAAGTTGTCTCCAAGGATGACTTGCAAAATTCATGTAACCTTTGTTGTTACAGATATATGCTTTATATGACTTAAGTTATACATGTATAAATAAACTTTTTTTTTTAGACAAATAGCCTTAATTAAAGCATATTTTACCCATAAAGTATTCTAATAGTGTCCACCAAAGATTCTTTGAACATGAAACAATGTGACTAAGAATAAAATTGCTATCTTTAATATGTATGCCAGATTTGTCATAAAATACCAATTTGAAAGTTTTTTTTCCTATTTCCTATTATTTTTAGAGACTCAAAATTCCATTTCTTTGTTTGATATATTTGTTTTATCTTATAACTTTGATTTAAAAAGTCTGTGGGAAACTTTTATAGTTGCTCTGAAGTATATGTATTGTATCAGTAGGATCAGAAATTGTGGATTACTGTATTTATAGAACATTGTATATGATATTATTTGTTGTTATGGGGTTACAATATTGTATTTACAGAATCAGATATTCTAGGTTAATTGCTATAGAATTACAGTATTATATTTACAGGATCTGATATTACTTGTTGATGTGGATTTACAATATTGTACATGTATATACAGGATCTGATTTTTATTGTTTTGGAGTTACAGTATTGTGCATGTATTTACAGGATCAGACATTTTTGGTTGCTGTAGAAATACAATATGATATATTACATGATGATTTGATATTATTTTTTGTTATGGAGTTACAATATTATAATAATAACAGCCAGACATTCTAGTTTGCTACAGGAATACATTATTTTATTAACAGGATCAAACAGGGAATGTTATACCAGATGTTCCCATTGTTACTACATTTCTACCACAGACGAATAACCCCGCAGTCAATTTACAGGGGCAAGGAGGTGGCTTGGTATGTATGGAATGGTAGAAAACTGGTTGTGTTAGATAAAGGACTTCCAATTCTCTACCAGAATTTTTTTTGTTCATTTAGAAAAAGTGTTGCTTAATTCATTTAACTGCTTTTGTCCAACACCATGCTGCTTCATAATTTTATTTTGCTGTGTCAAGGATATAAACTTAGATGTTTTATCTCGATATAATAAATTTAATTTAATAATAAAAAAAAACACACACACACTGAGAAGAGTCGTGGATCTTGGAACTTTGGATTATAGCAAAAGTGATATGAATCATTTACAAATTTAAACTATTTTAGATCCCTAATTGCACAGTGAGTATCTAAAAGTATAGTGTCACATATCCTCATCTTAATGATTTTAATGTAAAATTATGAAAGAAAATGAATTTTACAAAGTACCCCTAATTTAATAAACTTTTATTTCATAAATTTACTCTCAAATATGTCTTTTTTTATTTCATGTTATTTCTATGTATTGAAATATAGAAAGTGAATGAATAATTTTTAAAAAAATTTAAAGTGTAACATCATGCATATATGTTTATGTTGTATTACTCTAATTTATCTTTAACATCGAAGAACAATGATCATATGACAATGCGAAATTGCAAATTGTTACTGTAAGAATAGAAAATTATAAATGTAGCTACAATGTTTCTGTTAACAAAGATAACTGAAGTGAGATACTCAGTGCTTAATTTTTATGAAATAGAAAGCTAATGATTCTGTGCATTTGTAAAGCTTTAATCTTTTAGGAAAGAAAAAATTTTTCTCTCCACAATGTCTTCAGATTTATTTTTATTTCTTTTTAAAAATCTTTCTGAAAATAATTTGAAAGGCTAATTTCTTTTTTAGAATGAGACTTGCGTAGTAAGTAGTATTAGGGAAATTCCATATCTTAAACTAGAGAGTTTTAATGTAAATACTAGTATGTAAATACGCACGTGATCAGCCATCTGTACTCTCATAATTCCAAGAAGGATGCATTTTGTGTTTATTCTTATAATTGCATTTCATTAATAATTCTTATGACAGAGAATTGCATATATAATTACATGTAGTACACATTAATATGTATAAATTGTAAATATGTATGGAAATTCAGATAAATGAAAATTAAATCTGCATGAACCACTGTCAAATTAATGTTTCGATATCCTATTTTTTTTTCAAAACCATTTGTGAAAGTTTAACTTTTCTCCTTAACTAATTTCTGTTCTTCATTTAACATTACAAAAAGGAAGATTGAATTGAGGAATGCCAGTGGGAGATGAGCATCAAATCTACAACGTTAAAATTACCTGGTCTTGCAATAAATATTTTCATTTTTTAATATGGTAGTGGCAAAATTAAGATCATAGTTGAAAATGGTACCCAAAAGTTCTATATCATAGCTGACTTTTTATATTGATATGGCTATTTGCGTACAGAAATGTAAAAGACTATGAAATTTTATTTTGAAAGTCTCTCATAAATTACACAATCCTTTTGGTTAGACATACCCGCACATAAACCATCGTAATATTGTATTCAAATAAAATGTGCAATCCATTTTGTTGATCTTGATGAAATTCAATAACGATAATTAACTTTTTTTTAAATTTGTCTTTTGGCTTTTCAATATCTAGAAAATCTGATGGTTTTCAACCTTATAATCATGACACATATACGTATGTACATAATTATGTGTATTGCAATGTGAGTATAATTGTTGCTTTTTGGAATCACATAATCAAAAAGATTATCAACCATTGTTATGCCCCACCATGAATATGGCCAAGGATATAGTGTTTATCATTTCCGTCTTTCCATCCTTTTGTCAGTCCTTCTGTCACAATTTGCATTTAGCTCAGTTTCAAAGAAACTTATCAAGGTATTTATATGTATGCTGATACATATTGTTGAGGGCTATTCAATTGCATCAACCTTTTTTGACCTTGACCTTTCCTATGACCTTGACCTCACTTTTAAGAAATTTGTGTTTAGCTCAGTTTCAACGAAACTATGCAAGATATTTTTATCAAATCTTATACATATTGTTGAGAGGTATTCAACTATAGCACTCACTAAAATGTGTCAGCAAAATATGTTTAAATTACTGTACTCTTTTATTTGATAAGTAAGAGTGATGGCCAAAATTTAATGTATTCTTTTATTTGGTAGGTGAGAGTGGTGACTAAAATTCTGCCCAGTAAACCTGTTGAGGAGGACGTACCTATCTGGGCGATTGTAGTACCTATTATTATTGCTGTCATCATTTTGGGTGTTATCATCTTTGTTCTGTGGAAGGTAAGATAAAATTTTAAAATTACAAATGTTTTAATAATGTTATTATAAATTTTGTCATAACATAACCAACAAAAGAGTCTTGAAAATTCCTCTTTTTCGATTTCATTACAGGAATTTGCGATTTGCTATAGCTTTAAATGCAGCAAATCAAAAATTTTTGTTTTGTGTATGAACTAAAATGTAGAGCATTAATTAACACTGTTAAATGCTATTTTGTTAATGTTTGCTGTACTCATGTTTAACTAATTATTGTCGTGGTCACTTTTATTGTAGAAAGGATTCTTTAAGAGAAAATACAAAGTTCAAATGGAAGAGCGGAAAGCAGGCAAAGGAAAACCGGAGGAAGAAGATGATTTTGACAATCTACATCAAGCAACTTTTGTTACAGTGAATGATGAAGCAAATGATGAAAAGCCAATAATGTCAACTTTTGTATCTCCACCAGAGGAGGAAGAGAAAGAAAAAGAGAAGGAGAAGGAGGAAGAGGAGGAGCCTAGTTTTGAAATAAATAAAGGTGAAGAACCAGATTGGGGTGGGTTAGATAAGCTAATGGAAGATTTGGATCTTAAGGCAGGTCGTGATTTAGGGTCTGGTCCAGTGGTAGAAGCCCCCACTAGTAAACCATCAGATATCCCAGTGAGTCCTGTGGTTAAACCTACTGGCATGGACTATGATGATATAGAGGATGATGATGATGAAAAAGTGACTGAAGGCACTAGTTTAATTTCTAAGGAAGAGCCTTCAAGTCAGAGAGATGAAGAAGCCAAGACTGAGGAAGACATTCCTGACTATGCTAAAATAGATAAATCTAGAAAAACTTCTCAAAAAGAACCACTTTTAGGAGATTCAGCTAAATCTGAGGATAGTGAAATCCCTGATTATGCTGTAGTTAATAAAACCAAGAAAAAAGAAGACTCCTGAAAAAAAATTGACACATTGTAAATTACATACAAATTTTTTTTATATATGTTTACAAATGGTTGTCGTCTACAAAGTAAGGTGTGCTGATCAATGTTGTGGAAATGCTTTAACATATCAAGTGCCATGTAAAAATTGACAGCTTTATGTATGTGACAGATAGATATTTAGGACTGACAGTTTGACTCTTGGGTTCACTGTAGGCATCATTAAGATGGTAATGCTGAAGATGCTGACAATAATTTTTGAGTTTTTTTTTTTTTACAGAATGACAGTTCCTAGGAAAGGTTTTCGTTATTCTACAATCGTTTACATTGCATGCATAACCCTGAAAAGTATCAGACTGCTGTTATAGTCTTCTAGTAATTTTGAGTTAATTCATTTTTGTTTTGTTTAACTTTTTCTTATGTTAAAGATAATTTTAGTAACAGTGTTCATTGATATCACAGACATGGCGGCAGATCCAGAATCAAAGGAAGTATCAGAACCAGAATCCAGGTCAGGATGACCTTAATTTATACATCAGCATACTCAGTCTCTTTTCTCTGGGCTTTATTGGTTGTGAATGATCAATTACTGCACGATTTTACTATATATATGATGTTGCTTAATTGTTATTTAGTCAACACCTATGTCTTTGTCCTACATGATTGCTATTCTTGAATCATAGGAGAAAAAAAATTGATTAAAGTCAACCTTGTAGTAAATGTTCTTTCACAATGCTCTTGGAAAAGTCTTCTCAATTTTTGCGCAGGCAGTTTCTTTTTGCAAACTTCATTTGGTTCTTTTTAGCACTTTCCTTTCAGTGTCATGTGAAATAATTCCAAGACTTTAAAATTTTTGTGGTTTAAAAATATACCTATCAAAAACAGCAGTCCATGCAGGTGATGTTTGGAATGAAATGTGATGACGCAATGTATGTTAGTTATTCTGTAAGCTTTACTAATCGTTCGACTACTGCAGCATACATTCACGGACATTACTGGTCCACATCTTCGTGTATAATGTATCTTAGTATAAGTTGAAGTAATGTCAAATGCATGACAGTGTATATTATTTGTTTGAAATGGTTTTGCTACTAACCCGTCTTCAGAGGGGTTTAAATAAGAGGCATTTCTTATTCTATCAATGGCTTTCGAATTACAGATCTGTGGTATTAGTACGTGTAACATATTTTAGCTGTGACTATTTCATGTCTTTTGTTTTGTTTTAAGATATAGTTTTCTTGAGAGATTATTATAGAGTTGCAGTCTCTTACAAAAATATAAATAATTAACACAGTACTAAAACAAGAGCATTTAGAGGATGAGAAAGAGTAATTTATAGCTATAAAATTGAGTATATTATTATTCTTATAAAATTAAATTTATAAATTACGACTTATATGTTTTGAACTATAGTAATATAATCGTCCGTATAGCTGTAACAAAAATATTTAATATGTAAGGAAAGTTGACTATCTCTCTTTAGAATTGTTCCATTCTACCTTACAGAAATGTATCTTAAGGACTTTAAGACTTAGCTGGAAAAAGGGCAAATTATTTCAATTACGTCGGTCAGGTTGAGTCTTTTGCAATTATATCCTTCATAGGCTTGCTCAAAATAATGATTATTCAAAATGTTATTAAATATTTGTTACGTAAATCGTCAAACAGGCCTAGTAAGGGTTGTGCGGGACAGTGTACTTTGTATTTACAGATATCAATACTGCTTTATTTATCGCTGTATTTAACATTTCTTTTGCCATAATAATTGTATTCTTCATTCCAGCCTTTCTTTTGTATCTGTAATTGTGAATGACTATAGCTTTGTTTGAAACACATTTGTTTGTATATGGATATGAAACATTGCTATGTCTTGTAATGGGATATATTTGTGTAAATGTGTAAAGAAATACAGTATGAAGTATTGAGTAATTAGATATTTATGTAGTAATATACACTTTTAAATTCTTAAGTAATTTCTAAGGAATGTATAAGGTTGTGTATGATTTGAGTGTAATGTAGATAAATGAAATCCGAAGGATGTATGTATATCACTGCCGTATTTCTCATGCTTTATATTCATTTCAGAAACATAAACAGTTGTAAACTATTTGTTCGTTTTTCCGACTTTCAATTGTATTTTATTTAATCATATCGGAGACGGGACGTCCCTCTACTGATGGAAATGTATTGACAAATGGAGGTAAAATTGAAAATTTAGCACACTTAGTGGACAATACAGGGAAACATTTGAGGAAAATAATTGTTAAAGGGGGCTGGGTGGTCAATAAAGTATACCCAACAGATAAGCCTAAAATATGAAAATTCATATGACTTTTTAGCCATGAACTTTGTTACAGCTTTAATGTTTTATGAAATATGGAGATAACGAACAGTATTCAAGTTCAAAATTCATTTGAAGCAATGCAAATCGGGATCAGTGCAAATACGGACCTCTAAAACATCAGAGGTGGGATCAGGTGCCATGGAGGAGTAAGCATCCCCTGGGATTAGGTGCCATTTCCTATTTTTACTCATAGCTCTTCTTTACAAGAAGATTTAAATAGACTAAAAATGGCCATGAACATTCAGCCCTATTAAGGTCCATAGACCCTCTGAAAAACGAGGTAATTTTAACGGGCAAAAGTGACCTTTTTCCTTCATAAAATTGGAAAGTTAAAACCATTTCTGTCACATTTTGTGTCTTAAGGTATATTAATTTAAAATGAGGAACATTTTACTTAACTTGGAGGTTCGATCCTGAGCTTTTGAGCAGATTTTTCTCTGGACCTTTATTTCTAAAACTCTGCATCATATTTAAGTTCTTACATTCAATTAAGATTCAACAATGCAAATGAAACTATATTCAATGAAAAAAAAAACGCGATGAAATTCCATACAAATAGAATTAAGCCGGGAACTGTATCTTGTGGTGGAAGAATTATTAGATGAAAATGATCAGTTTTCCTTTTGAAGTATTTACGGTACTTTTAATTTTAAAATTCCTATTTTTCCGTGCTAGTTACACATGCAACATTTGTAATTTGCTCTGTGAAATGTTTTTATGCTGCTTCTGAAATATCTATTTAATTAATTTTATGAATTCTATCATCATATTGTGACAAATATATTCTAAAACTCCAGGAAAAAAATTGAGCCAATTTTAACATAAAATTAACATTTGTTATAGTAATATTCGAAAATTTACATCATAGACCCCCACTTTTGATTATCTTGTCTGAATATGTAAGATAACTTTGATCAATCTGCTGAAAGTCAGCAATAGATTAAGACTTTGAAATAATTTTCTTGTTGAATTTTTAATGCCAGAAAAATGACATTATGTGAGTGCAGAAAGGACAAGTAATTGATTATGCGAAGCAATTTGAAACTTCTATGTCGCAATTTTAATGTGTCTTTTTCAAGATAGAATGATTCTATATTTTGTCCAATGATTAATTTGGATTAAACATATTGGAGGGAAACTTCGAAGATGTGATTTATGATTAAAACACGATTTCAGTGCAAAAAGTTCATATTAAATGTACCGTAGTGCCAAAAAAGTATACTGACCTATATTTTTTTATTTTCATTTTTAATTAAGCTATGTGTGTAGATGCTAAAAATATACTTGACAAAAAATTCTCAAGACTTAAAATATTCAGGATCAAACCTTGTTAAACATAAGATTTCTTTTGGAGAAATGATTTTAAAAGGTTAAAGAAAAATGTATAAGATCAGAGGGATGATGCACATAAAATAAACTAGAGGTACTGTACATGTGAACACTGAGCTCACAAAATGATACACTCGCATCTGAGTATAATGGTAAAGTCCATTTTTGCATCGGAAATCTCAAATATCTGTCGGATCAGAACATAAGACAGGTACAATTGGACTGTGTAAGAAAGATTCATTAAAAAGTTCATTAAATTTAATTCAGTGATATTGGAGGAGTTGTGAATAAGGACTGGTATCCTCAATGGTAAAGAAAGAATAGCAGTGTCCATGTTTTGGTATTGGAAACCCCAAATATCTGTCCCATCAAGACGAAAACGAAAAATAGGAGGTGCACAATGGCAATAAGAGATGGGTACCCCAATGGTAGAAAAAGAATGGTAGTGTCCATATTTTCCTATGGGAAACCGTCAATATCTGTCAGACCAAAACGAAACATGGGAGGTGCACATGCATTTGCACTATTTAATAAAGATTCTTTAAAAGACTCAAATCTTCAGTGGCATAGGAGGACTTCTGGATAAGCATTGCGGAAGGGACGGGTTGGGGTGGGTGGCTCTAGATGATGTACTGTAAAAGTAGAATACATCGCGATGGTTTTAATTTCACTATGTTTGCGATGTAAGGATTTTCCGCGAACATTATGTCATCGTGAATATTATTGATTTATTATCAATGTTGTATTTTTATTAGGGATGTCAACGAATATTCGAACATTCGAATATTCATTCGATGAGTTGATATTCGAATATAAATTTAAGATTCGAATATTCGGTGTTTTACAGATTTCTTAAAAAGAAGTACTGTGATTAATAAATTTTGATTACCTGAAAACCTTCTTAGAATGTCTAAAAGGCGTGAAGAGTATACTTATCAAAATAAATTTAATTGATCATTGAATGAGTGTCTGATAGAATTAGTCTTTAATTACATGTAATATTGTAAAGGGTTCAATTTCAGAATAAATGTGTAAATTACTTGATTATCTCGGGTTGTACATAATCCTGAATTTTATATTCATTATCGGTCAATTAATCAATTACCAAGGAAAATTGTCTATGGAAATAATTGTTTTTATTTTTTTTAAATATTTTATCAAAGATTAATTATCATATCTCTTCTTAGGCTGATAATTGTAATTGATTACTCGTATTGAAATCTAAACAGTATACGACTATCCTGCCTTTGGTAAGACGACTGGTTCCTCAGTTTGAGCTACTATAAATTTATTAAATTATTAAATTTGTTAAAATCATTTTTTTCTACATTTAAATCAATTACATGTACTTATTTCAAACATTGACAAATATCAAATGGAATTCCTTATTGTACACCTACAAAAGCCTTCACATAATTTTACTTCCAATATAAGAATACCTACACTAAACCTTTCATGAGAGTAGGATGATACATATTTAAAATAAACCAGATTTTATTTATTTCATCGAATATACGAATTTATTCGAATTTTTCATTGAATATTCGAATATGAATTATTGACAAAATTGACATCCCTAATTTTTATATCATATCAAATACAACAACATTCCACACAGCATAAAAACTGTATTCATTTTTTTTCAAACGAGTAAAATTTTTAATCAATGACAATCATTTGGAAACACCAGGTTAATAAAACGGCTGTTTAAAGTTTCCTAAAATAGTATTAAATAGTTCACTTTAGCTTTGATTTCAAGGGATATTTTGTTTTAATTACAAATATCTAATAATGACACATTTAGTGTCCGTGAAATTAAATCCACCGGGAAATTAACCAACATTGTGAAATATTGGAATTAAAAAGACGTTTACAGTACATGTAAAGACACGAAGTACATGACGATGATCATTATATAATACAGCTCTAATGCAGCATTTATACCAATTCAACAAAACTTCGTATAATTTTCTAAAATAGATAGTAAATGTTTCTTCTCCAAGTGCTCCGCATTATTGAAATAAAAGTTAAGGGTTTTTCTGATAAAACCACGGCAATTGAGCTCGAGTGTCACGCTTAAAAAAAATCCCTTATATGCTTAATGCTTTAAGTGCCAAAAAAAAAAAAGGTGAATTTTTAACGTCTGATACGAGTGAAAGATCTCGCAATGGGCTTTAAACAACAATGAATCAATCAATCAAGACCTTTCATCCACACAAAAAGTGCCGATAGATTCAATTTATTAAAATTTATTCCTAAACCCTTCTGATTATCCTTGTACATTTGGAATGCAAGAGAATTATATTTGTATACAATTGATTTTCTTTATCGATGTACTCGAATTCTTAGTGAAATATCATATTTAATCTAAAGGACAAAATACAAAATTAAAGGTCGCATATCTAAAAATTATACATCAACTCAAAAAATGCTCGGGCAAATCGGTTTTGATTGTTTTATTTTTTTTTAATTTTAATTTAAAAAGCCATATTATTAACTATTAAAATTATTCACCTGTTATTAATACTTTCATTAAATTTAAAAACATTATCATTTACAAACAGTATGATAAACTTTTGGATATATAATGGACCCACAAATGGCGAGAAAACCATTTGTGGGACTGAAACGTCGCGCATTTTTGTTGCTAATTTGATACTGGTAACTAGACCTTTTATCATCGTCATCTACAATCCTACTTTGTTAAAGATTCATTCTGGTTCTACTTACAAATACTCTATGACTAGATATTGAGTAGATGCTTGAGTACTGTAAACCAGCTTTTATTCGCGTGCGAGAAATTTTCACGAGGTTCGCGAGAGCCTCGTCATCGCGAATATTTCTCGCCGCGAACCGGTCCTTAAAGCCTCTCTTTCTATTAACAACAGATCAAAAAAAAGGCTTGATCGCGAAAATTAATTGCCGCGAACTAGTTTACCCTCTTCGCACTCGTGAAAATATCAAAAAAGCCTGTCCCACTTGTGAAATAAATTCCATATCCAACTAAAAAACATTGAATATCCTCTATATACTCCACTGATTTACTAATTAAAGAAGAATATGCACTTGTGTACATAAATGTAAATATAATAAACAATGTTATTCTTTAACAGCAAGATAGGCACAACTGACACTGAGAAGCTTATACCAGATGACTCAGATATGAGTAATGGTTTGAGTATCCCGGATGGACAAGGAAGCACGACGGCTTAACTCGTAATATCTGAAATTTCCAAGAAAAGTTCTACGTCATAACTATATCATAACCGGACATGACGTACAGGTTTCCAATGTGATGCTGCTGCTACAGGCACGAGCTGTTGCGTTTTTTTTTTTTTTTTTTTTTTTTTTTTTTTTTTTTTTAACAACAAACTGACTGATTGCAGAATTTTTTGTTCATCTTATATATTCTTAATCGAGTTTAAGTGTTTCAATTAAAAGTTTATTTATAAAGTAAAACTCGGTTATAGCGAAGTCCTGGGGACCTGTGAATTTGATTCGCTATATCCGTAATTCGTTATATCCGTATAACGAATTCGTATAAGTTGGTATAACGAATTCGCAATATACACGTTTTCTCTCAAGTATATCTATCGAATATGTTAGGGAAGCAATTATTTCAAGACATACCTTGGGTAACTAAGGATTTATTATGCATTGAATTTTATATACAAATACTTGCCGAAAATAAAGTCAGTTCAAAGTATCAGATTTTGAGATCTATGAAAATTCGTAATAAAAGATGTAAATTTCATTATTTTTAATTTCTACAAGACTCAAAATCAGTTCGCTAAAATTTCACAAAGAATTGTTAAGAATGTTGCTTGGGACCCCCCAAAAAACTTCGCTATATCCGTGATTTCGCTATATCAATGTTCGTACTAAACGAGTTTTACTTTAGGATCGTTGAATTTAGAAAAAAAAGAGGTAACAAAATTGTATAGATAGTGAAAAGTTGTTAAGGGATGTTTAAAAAAAAAATGGTGAGTTGTTAAGGGATGTTTTGAAAGTGGCTGATATGGGCATTATTTATTCATTTTGAAATATTAGTTGAATATATATCATCATTTTTATGCTGAAGTGAGTATTTTTAATTTTTTAAATTATAAATGTAAGTTTTTGAAAAGTGTCAACATTATTTTACAGTCGTTGAACTGTGTATAAGCGTTAAATAAATATTTGCCATTGTACGCTACTGGAACTGTACATGCCACGCTTGGGTTGACCAGACGGGTTAAACTCGGCGAGTGTTTTGCATTTTGCTTTTGTTCGTTTTTTTTTAATTTCAATTCTTAATATTTTTATTTTTATGCATTTGTAGATTTCCCACATGACTGTTATTGTTCGTAATATTTTATGTGTTTTTTTAAATTGCAAATCATTCCTGTAAAGGTATTCATGTACTGTTTTGTATTCTCACATCTGTTTACAGCTTAGAACAAAGAAAAGAACTATATCTTTTATTACATTTTCAACAGCGAAATACTGTGATTTATTTATTGAATAAAAGTGATATTCTCTCAAAGAATGAAAGATAACAAAGTGATATTCTCTCACAGTGTGAAAGGATATCAAAGTAAGTAAAAAATAATTTCTGGCCTGTCATAAGATAATTATAGTAACTAAACCGTCTTTATAGAGACTAAAACTGCCAATGTCTTCCAAAATATGTTGCTAAAACCCATGCTACAATGTTTTCTGTCTCATAATTGCTAAGCCATGACATCTCAACTGCTCAAATATGACGTCACAGCCTATGACACTGTGCTACGAAAAGACAAAAACAAAGGAATAATCAAAGAAAATGCAAAACAGAAAATTCAATGCTTTGAATTTGGATACGGAATTTATTTCACTTGTGAGATAGGATTTTTTAAAATATTTTCCCGAGTGCGTGAAAATATCAAAAAAATCCCGTCCCACTCGTGAATTAAATTCCATATCCAACTACAAAACATTGAGGTCCTCTATTAATGCTAATGAAGAGATATCGATGATTCAATGAATAGCGTGAATGATACTATACAGTATTTCTGGTAGCAATGATTGGAAATTATCAGAATCTCTTTGTCACTTACATTTTGATCTTACAGTATTATTTTCAATTGAGTTTTTAATATGAAATATGCAGGTTTATATATGTTGAAGAAAGAACAAACTCAGTTTGAATGATATGAATATTTAAATAACTATGAATAAATATAGAAATCCGTCACAGGTTTTTATTATTTCATTGTTTTTCTTTCTTTCTTTAATGGTGCAAATACGTAAGCTAGAAAATATCAATGTACGTTCCTCTCTCTCTCCCTCTCTCATATATATACACTAGACAAAATTTATTATTCTTATTTGTGAATTGATCATTTTCCTTATTGGTACTAGTATATAAAATATGCCATCTTTTCCAAAATAGATGGATTGACAAATGTCTTGGTGTTATGTCAAGATCCTTAAAGGACCTTCTTGTCCGAAAACCGATTCCCCGACGTGCACTGCTCACCGTTTTTTTTTTTTTTTTTTTTTTTTTTTTTTTATACATAATTACATTTTGTAAAGCTTCTGACTGAAGATAGAATGAAAGGCCTTTAAGTGTTTTATTCTGACCACTGAGACATTTTATTGGATTTTATATAATATATATATATATATATATATATATATATATATATATATATATATATATATATATATATATATATATATATATATATATATATGAAAAGTCATAAAAACAAAGACTTCACCAGAGTACACCCGAGAGACCGGACGTATTTCATAGCGGTCCGGATTTATTTCTTTACAACTGATTATAAAATTCAACATGTAACATTGTAAATAAATAGTGTTTGGTAGTTTAGTAGTAGTGCTAGCCGTTTTTGTTTTTCTATTTCCTTTGTTTTTATGACTTCTTAACTTTTTTTTTTCTTTGTCCTGAGGAAGGGACAGGGCGTCCCGAAAATTTGACAATTTCTATTGTTCGTGTCGTTTGTCATTTTTAGTGCTTTATATATATATATATATATATATATATATATATATATATATATATATATATATATATATATATATATATATATATATATATATATATATATATATATATAATATCTGTTAAAACAATGCTTTTATTTAACTCTTGCTCTTATTATGAAAGTCCACTGACTTGAACTGAATAAGGATGATTACTTCCTTCACAAGATAATATAATATTAAACGCACATTTCCGATGAACATGATAAAATACCCACTACAGAGTACTGATATCAATTTTATGTAAGAAAACTAACCACAATTTAAGATTATTGCTCGTCACTTCAGGAAAGAACTACTTTAGTTAACCATTTGCCACATGAAAAAGGCTTTACCCTTTTATATTAAGTTAAATCATCATGTTGTTAAACGAAACATGTCTGTTGTTTGCATTAATCCCCGTGATTTCAGCATTTAATGTTGGAATCAAAGGGGCTAAGATTTTAACTGGGAAACCAGGCTCCATGTTTGGGTACTCAATAGATTTCGCCACAAGGGGGAATAATGTATGGTAAGTTAACAAATACATCATACAGTATTGGTTGTTCTAGTTGATGTTATTTTTTCGGACATATTAGATAACATGTATTTTGTTAAAAAAAAAAAAAAACCCTGTATTAACGGTGTCTGTGAATGTCGCGTTTTTTTAAAGGCAGTTTTGCCGATGTTATATAATTTTTTGAAGGAATTTTGTATGTTGATACTTTTGGACAGGCTGTTAATTGGATCACCAAAAGAAGACGACTATGGCATCAATATGAAGACAGGGGCGCTGTACTTTTGCCTTCGGGGATTTAACGATCTTTCCGACTGCAGGACGGTTCCAGCAGAGCAAGGTATGCACTATATGATACTCAGTGATATAACTTTATTTCATTTTAAGGAGGTTGGATCTTGCTATCAAAAGTATTAATATTTTTTTTCAAGTATATTTTTAGAATCTACGCACATAGGTAAATTAAAAATTAAATCAAAATAGGGGGTTAGTGCGCTTCTTTTGGCGCTAAGGAGTTATTTAGTATAACCTTTTTGCACTGTAGTTACCGTGGTTACGTAGAACACATAGATAATTTTTAAAAGGTTTTTTTCTTCAAAATTTTTTTTATCCAAATAAATCATGGGACTAAATACAGCTTTATTTCGTCTAGAATAGACCAATTAAAATTTGCGACAATGAAAGAGATTCAAATAACTTCGCATAGACAATTATTTGACCTTTCTGCACCCCAAAAATGTCATTTTTTTGGCATTGAAAATCTATCAAGCAATAAAATCACTTTAAAGTATTGAGATTTCACTAAATATCAACAGGATGGGTAAAATTGTCTTATATGTTCAGAAAAGAAAATTAAAATAAATGGTCAGTTGATATAAAATTGATAAACACACTAAAGAAACAAAATATTTCTTCAAAACACTTGCTTACAAATGTCATCTTAAGAATCACACCATCAAAAGTAATGGTACTGCATTAAAAAGAAATAACTTCTGTTATCTGAATGTTTTCTCCTGCTACCTACAATCTGTTTTCTCTAAAAATGTTCTTGAAACTTGAAAAAAAAAAAAAAAAACACTTGCATAATTACATGTAGTTCCAAAATTAATGCTGTATATGAAATTTTTTTTCTAAGCTGAGAGGAATATATGAAATCTTAAAAGTATGACCTTGAAACATTTACAATCTAAACTTGTCAGTGTTATCTAAAAGAATACAAATTAGGCCTTTTCGCCATATTTTCATATAAAACCAAACGCAAAGTAAAATCAAACAGTTATCAAAACCACTGTTTAAAAATGTCTAAATTGGAACAATTTTGCTTCCCAAATCACGAGAAAAATTACATGCATATGCAGATAAATAATCTACTAGTATGTGTCCAATGAAATTTATGTCTTTCAACAACAATTTAAAAATTACAGAAAATCACTGCGATTTCTCTTTTTTTTTTTTTAATTTGTTGACATTTTATATTGTCTTTATTTCTATCCAGTTCTAAGTCCCGGGGTTGGGTTTACTGAAGACCGATCTGATATGTGGCTAGGAGCTTCTGTGGTTGTTGGAACTGATGCAAACGCAGTAACTGTAAGTCATGATAATAATGAACGAATGTACATTTTACATGTATATTTTTACTTTGCAAATTTAACAGAGCCAATTTTATTTTAACATGTTATGATAAGGTCACTAGAGGGGCAACATACATGTAGCAATGTTCAAAATATGAAACCTACAAGACCCTAAATTGTCGACACCATAATTATGATACATTCCAGTCGGAGACCCTTTTTTCTTCTAGTTTTGACAACGATCTACTCCATTTAACTGATCAATATATAGGGCTCACGGGTATAACCGGTCGACAGAGGATGTATCTCTGATGTTTCCAGGGGTCCATGTTTCTGTCCTTATCAGTATTTGTATTGTTTAAGGGATTTATGAGATTGATCACTGTTCGTTATCTTCATATTACCAGATTTATCCAAAGAGAGAATAAAAATGTAACTTGCGCTACTTTCTTGCATGTGAACATGGGGTATGATGTAAAAGGTAAAAAGGAAAGTAACGAACAGTGATCAATAAAAAAAAATCAATAAACAATACAAATATGTGAAGAGGGTATAAAACATGGACCCCTGACAATTCCAGTGGTGGGATCAGGTGCCTAGGAGGAATAAGCATCCCCTGTTGACCGCTCACACCCGCCATGAACCCTATGTTTTGATCAGGTATACAAAACTGTCCGTAGTGAATTCAGTACAAAAACAAAGGCCTAACAATTAGTATGAAACAAGTCAGCCAAATACGTCCCTATGATAGAATATATTTGCTAACAAGGTCATTATAACGACCATAAAATTTACGAAATACTGACACTAAACGAGGTTGTTGAAATTCCTTTAGCATCAACTTATCAGTGAGTAGCCGGTCTTGCTTTAAAAATTTATCGTACTCAGAGCAAGCTCTTGAGTAGCGAAAAAGGTGGGAGACATGAACACCATAAGCAGGTAATAGTGGAATATTACTACATAAAAAAGGGAAAGTTTACAATGGAAAAGCTAAAGTCATCTCATTTGTCATACAATTTAGTTTTTCATTTGGTCTTTATTGTCTATAGTAAGCAAAAAATCTAATCATGAAACATATGTGGCAGACTCTGTAGTGTCTTTTATTTCAAGTTCACTGGAATATATCGAGTCGACATACGAATGAAAATAACTATTTTTAATTGATAAATTGATCATCGATATATCTGAATGTCGAATTGCAGGCCACAGCTAGTGTTTTCTTCCTCTCGTGTAGAAGCTTATGAATAAATTATGTTTCATAAGAATATAATAACAAGTCAGCTAATTCGTGACCATCGAAATTCCAACAGTTTGCTGGAATTCTTGGTCTCCGTCAATGTCAATGAGGAACTCCAGCATCCTTTTAATATCAACTTCAGAGTACTTGTGTGTACAATTAGAGTGGGTTTTATTGAAGTAATTTTGCTGATGTCAAGATGTGAAAATTTCTGAGTTCCGTTTTTATTTGAGAAGCAGTTGTCTATGATATCAAAGTCTAGCTAGATTTTAATTTATCGCGAGGAATTGTTGTATAAAATGTAGAAAAATCGTAAGTTTTGATGCTATAGGCTTTTGAAAAATTTGGTGATTTTAAAGTTTCTAAAAGTTCTTTCGAGTTTTTGAGGATCCATATCTGATTTACCCCACTTCTAGAATAAGTTGTAGCACAGTACATCTGAAGTTTCTCCTTTACAGCAGTAAATATTTTTGTAGGGAGTGAAGATAAGGGCTTGATAGAGCATTTCCTGGACCCAGCAATACCCGGTATATCTTTGTTTGTAAAAATTTGTATGAAGTTTAGGAATCCAGTACAAGTAGGATAGATTGAACTCACCTTGGTTGACTGGTATATTAAAAGTATTAAACACTGAAATATGATTTTGAAAAATGTCTTCTTTGGAAAGTGAACTGTGAGTATATGTAGGATTTCCAGGCGTAGAATTAAAACCAAGTTCTTCCAGAATACAATTATAATAATGAGCCTTACAAAAACGATACTGTTACTAACCCTGTCTACCGGAACCGTAACATATTTTTTGTGTAGTAGCTCTAACTCTTTCATCACTTCCAGTTTAGTAAAAACGGAAGGGTAGATGGTTCGCATTTTTCCTTTTAATTTTCTAATACGAATCTTTAATATATTTCTAAAATATTTAATTCGTTCTAAGAAAGTGTTCAGGTCTTCCTTTTCATATTTAGCCCAAACGTTTGTCATAATCTTAGACAGAATTCATAATGGAAATACAGTTCTGTCGCCAATTTAAAGATCGGGACTCCCCTTATTAGGACCTTTAACAATTATTGCTTTAAGGTCTTCATTTTCAATTATATTAACATCACCAGTAATGACGTGTCAATAGGGACTCTAGTTGAAAGACGAAGAAGAGCAAGGACACTTAGAAGGATTTTGTTTTAGATGTTCAATATCTAGGCACTGTAGGGTTTGTTTATAACTGGAAAGATTGGACACAACAGTTTGTGAAGATCTGTAGAAAATGCAATGTGTAGATTTCAACTTGAAATGTGGTGGAATGCAAGACCAAACTTTTCTATGATTAAGATATTACTAATGTTCACAGCATCTATTCCTATGCTTGCAAATTTAAGCTAAAAGAATCGACGGGTTGGGTCAGAATTATCATCCAACACACACGCAGTAGATTAAAGAGTCTGTGCTGGGCAATATCCATAATCACAAAAACTAGCTTGTATTCTGCAGTTGAAGAATCTACATATGAACTTACTTTAGCTTCTTCATCTAGTCCATTAAAAGTTTTTAAGGAAACAGAATGAAGTTCAGTTCGAATGTGATGAAGACCTAATTTTTTATTGACGTGAGGCCGAAGTAAATCCAAAGAGTTTTTGTGAATGTGGTATATTATTTTTAGACACTGGACACACGCTCACATACCTATATGGGTGAATTTAAAAAAAAATGACCACCAAACTGAATTTTTTTGGCAAAATTCAACTACTTATAACATATTTTTCACTTATATCATCATATTGCAAATGCATTCTAGTTTAAAATCCTGAAGTGGCAATAGAATAGACAATTGGATTAAAAAGTTTCAGAATTTTTATTAGCAAAATTTCTTTTGAAAAAAGAAAATATCATTACACCTTAAAAGTCTTTCTAAAATACATAATCACAAGAAATAATAGTTTTTTATGCTTCAAAATGGTAAAAGGGGTATAAATGATTAGATCTAGACCTTGAATGACTTTCTTCTCTTGTATATGTGACACAAAATTGGCTTTTTGATTGTTATTTTACATTATTTTTTCAATTCTGGTTTGAAAAGTTTTAGTATGAAAAAAATATGAAGCAATAAAATTACCCAAAATTCACTTTTTTGTCCGTTCAAGTCAATTCTTTAAATCTAAGCCAAAAAATAATTGTTATATACGAATTCTCTTACAAAAAATACTAGATTTTGAAGTGACCTTATGTTACATTATTGTGTTGCACTCCTGACATATGATATGTATTTTATTTTACATTGTTTTAAAAATTATAACACACAATAACCCATTCTTACTTTGTAAATCAATATGTCGTGTTCATATTTTTCATCGTTTACAGCAGGTTTTTCATATTTTGAAGACCTTAAAACATGATTATTTGCAAAGTGTAATATATATAAATTGTATTTAAAATATATGTGAAATGATGAAAACTATTCCCTGAATTGACTGTAAAATTTCTGTAATTTGTTGATAGACATAGTGTTTTGAACATCAAATAGTATCAAGCATTTTTTTTCAACTTATTTTTCAGTAAAGATAGTTAAAAAGCATCGGTAATTATGAAGCAGTTTTGTTGCACTCCTGACTGCAGTAAAGTTTAAAATTAAAACCATAGAACACAAAAAATCATGAAGTGTTGGCAACATCAAGTGGTAATGAAATTGTGCAATACTTATAGGCCTATACTTCATAATTAAAACAGATGAAAGTATTTAAAATTCACATTTTACCTGGAATTTATACCCTATTTTATGCCAAAAAAAACTAGCTTAAATGTATATTTAGAAGATAAAATATATTTTAAAGCACATTTTCCTTTAGAGGACAAACACAGTAACCCACCAGAAAAAATTCTACTCATCATTTTTTCTTTATTTTCATTCTTATTGGATGATTTATAATTCTAACATATTTGTTGCACTCCTGACCAAATGCATTGGGGCCTTAAAAGTAGAATTGTGAAGTGAAAATTACATAAGAACTTGTTCTGTTGTTTCAGTGAAGTTGAGGAGGAATTACTTGAATTTTATGACAATGTTTTAATGTGTTTATTTTTAACGTTCATTAAAAAAATCACAAAAAAGATAAAAACACATCTGAATTGATAAAATTGAAAAAGGAAGGATTTTAATAATAAAACTGTCAATAATTTAGTATTAAATTATACAAAAAAATCATTATTAATTAATGAATACTTCTAAGCATGAATAGAAGTGTTTTCTTCACACAACTTGAATCTTTAAAAAAATGTGTTGCACTCCTGACCATAGAAATATGGGAGTCGTAACATAAAGCATGCTAAGTTTTTGACTTAAGTAGGGTCATAAGTATGTTTAAGGTGCAATCTTAATACCTGCCTAAGTACTACTTAAGTACGTCTTAAACCGTAACATAAAACGGACTTAGCTAGGTCTTAGCTAAGTCAAACATATGTTTGACAAAATATTTTATATGAATCGTCAAAGTTTTTCAATTTACTTATATATGTATTTGTAAAAATGATTAAGTTACGTTTTTAATCACATTTATATTAAAGTTGACGTCCTTACCTATCGGTTTTAGCTAGGTTAGATTTCGTATTTAATTAGTTATTTCTGTTTAAATAATTCTGAATATATGAAAACAAATATTTCACGGTTACAAAGTGGCAACTAAGGGTTCATTGTAAATGCGTGAATATTGTTTATCACTCGAGACTGCGATGTTTTCAGCTTACCGTTTGTTGTTATTCTTTCGTTTGACAATTGTTCACTTGCTTTCAAATTG